AATAAAATCTATAATAACTTGGTAGCATAATTTCATAAACTTCTACAAATAAATTTAGTAAACTCACAATTGAAGTGTTAGCGAACTCAAAAAATAATAAAATGTAAAGATATATAGTTTTATACAACATCTCTTCAGTAATATTGTTTTGCTAGCTTTCCTTGTAAAATGGTACATTTTATACATATTTAATTTTTTTTTTTATGAATTTTAAGGTGAAAAATAATTTTTATGATTTTCTCTAAAAACTCTACCACAATGGACTTTGCTTAAAAATATGTGAAAATCATTCTTAACAACTAATAAAAAAAATGCTAAAATAACTATCAAGGGAAAAGTTGGATTTTAATTACAGTAGAACATTGATAAATTAATAATCGATAAATTAATAAATTTCTTTGGTCCTAAATCGGGACCAGTACAAAAAACAAAGACAATTGATAATAAGAAAATAATTTTTTAAAAAATCTCTATGTAAATATATATCCCACCAATATCATAAATTAATAATAACTTTGAAATAAAAAATAATAATGAGCTAGTATTGTTGACATTACTTGAGAATTAGATGTTATGAATTTGTTGCATGATGTATTCACCCACTGATGAGTGTTAAAAGATTTTTCACAAAAAGGTTAAATATCTTTTAATAGAGGCATTTATATAGATTAGGTAGGTGATAAAATTTAAGATGATGATGGAGTCCAAATTCTAATGCATAGGGATATACGAGAATAAAAGAATATAAATCTTATACGGCTAAGTTTAAAAGATTAATAGGATTTTTTGGGAATTTCTTTAATTTAATATTATTAATTTATCGATAAATTAATACATCGATAAATTAATAATTTTTTAGGGTCCTAACAATATTAATTTATAGATGTTTAACTGTATTAATTAAGTATAATAAACTATAAATAGAATGTAATAAAGATGGGTGAACCGATTGGGTGGAAAGTAAATTGAAATAACTAATTTATAAAAAAATTTAACAATTTAATGAATGAGGATCTCTTATGTTGACACGTGTGAGAAAATGACTCTTAACTTGACATGTGGTAAAGAAAAATCTGAACTATCTAATTGAGCGACAAGTGTAGATTGAAAACTATCATTTAATATATAACTAGTGTTTATTCCGCACGTTGTGTGGGTTGTTCAAAAATAATATTAATGAGATAAGTTACAACTGTGGCACAATTAGTTCAAATTCTTTCAGAACCAAAAAAAAAAAAAGGTATATAGAGAGATGAAAATTGAAGAAAAGTATATAGAGATATATATAGAAACTTCTAGGAAAAAAAATATGAACAAACTTCTAAAAAAAGTTGCAAAAGGTATATAGAGAGAAGAAAAATAGAGACAAGTATATACAAAAAAAAAAAACAAATTTGGTAACCTATGTTTAAAGCTTCATATCTTGAAAAGTTTGTTATAATCATTTCATTTTTTACTATTACCTCGATTACACACACACACACACACACATATATATATATATATGTATATATTCTGTACATAAAATTTTTCGTCCATATAACTATATTTAATTTCTATGTATGTTTTTTCTTTTGTTGTTTGTCTTTCTCAAAGACCATTATTCTTTTTCTCATTTGGAAACCTTTCTCCCTGTTGATCTCTACATTTTGTTCTATCATCATAAAGTTAATATTTTCTACCATTATATCATATGGTAAATATATAACGAATATGTGTACTATTAAATTAAATTGTTATATAACATATTATACATAATATAATACAATATATGAGATAATACATTATTATATTATTAAAAATTTGGCCAATGAACATATAATTATACTATTATAATTATTTTACTTTTTTTTTTCTTTTATAATCTTTACACAATGTAATCACCAATAATCATTTATTAGTGTTGCCCGTTAAGGGGCAAAAAATATATTATTGTTAAAAAAATTTACAATTGAAACAACGAAAATAAAAACCAATACACTAACCAATAATTTTTTTTTTGATTAATGGTTACACTTTAACACATAACCATAGAAACCAATATTGATCGTATTGGTTTTTCTCATCACTTGCCGTTGTTTTTTTTTTAATTTTTTTAAATTCAAATTTGTTTTTTAGTTTATATTTCAGTTGATTGTCTTTAGATTTATTAGTATGAAGTTTTATTTTAGTCGCTTCTCCTTTTTACAATTAAAATTTGCCGTTAAGAGCTAATCTCCTAGTTAATTTAATTTTTTATCTATAAATTTAGAGTTTATTAAAAAATATCATTAATGATGAAATGACGTGGTTGTGACACGTGGACTTGCTTATTTAATTTTCCGCTTTGTGAATTATTTTGAAGTTTTCTTAGAGAAGAAGTATTTTCAATTTTATTACAATCACAATTGCTATAGAATTAGAGGCAGTCGAATTATGATAAAATTTTTATTAGAGTGAATTAGTGAAACCGAATTATGTTGAACGAATACAATTTCGATAATTTACATTTTTTACATTAAAAAATTATATATATTAAAGGAAAGAAAGGTAATCGACACGTGTCGCTCATTGAGCCTATCAAGCCTCAATTAACACGTGAGTCATTTGTTAATTGGTTGATCATTAATCAGTTAAAAGTTTATGTAAATAGTTAATAAATTATTTACTATATAAGATTTTTTTTTTACAGATATTACAAATTTCTGATTGTGAGCTTGAAAATGAATATTTTTGAAAATTGCTGAGAAACTCCCGACTTCAGAAGTCCTTTCATTTACGAGTTTAAACTTACAACCTATTGTCATTTTGGCCCTTAAAGTTCCATTTGTGTGCTACTTAGTCTTCAAGTTTATCGATTTTACATTTTCAAGGATGATTAATTGTGCCTCATATTTTATTAGAACTACATCTAATCTCCAAAGTCCCCTTGCCTATAAATAGGCCATAGGCATCTAGTCATAATTTACGCATTTTTTAAATATTTTTTTAATTCAAACATAACATTAGTTAGTGGTGACAATTTTTATTATATAACTTTTGAAAATCTTTGTTGTAATTTTTTTCTACTAGATCTTACAAATATACATCTCATAAATAATATCAATACCTCTCATTTTGATCTAAAATTGACTAATCAAAAAAATATTATGGTTTTAAGACATATTAATAACTACATTAGTTATCTAATTAATTCTTTTGAAAAATAAATTTTCAAGATTGACAAACCCGCACAAAGCGCGAGACACATACTAGTCACTATTATATGATAGAGTGATATGGTTGCGAAATGTGAACTTAGTTATCTAATTTTCTGCCATGTGGATTAGTCTATCTAATTTTACAATATATGTCCGATTGAAACTGTCATTTAATATATATAGAGATATAGATTTATTTTTCCTTTAGTATATGCAAAAATCCTCACACAAAAAAAAAAAAAACCATAAAGATGAAGAAAAACAAGATTAAATGAATTTCCCTAAACCAAGTATTATTATTATTAGGAGGCATTAATGACGAAGAGGTCAAGGTCATCATTTCATAAGCACCCCTCATCAAAATAATTAAATTGAGTAAATTATAGACACAAACTATAGATTGGGAATATGTTTAAGTAATTGTTTGCTTGGTCTTTCTTTTCAAGCAAGGTGATGATACGTTTGCAAATTAACAACCATCACAAATTACTGAAACAATGGAAAATAATTGAAAATGATAGGAGAATAATTTTTTATTTTTTATTTATTTTTTTATTTTTTTGCAAAAAAAAAAGTACCAAAAGACTATTCACATTATCCGAAATTCTAATATTGAAGGTAAAATATGAGTGTCCTTCAATAGGGTTGATAAAGGGAATGCAGATCCAGATGATGAGATGAAAATGAGGACTGAACGACTAACATACACTTATGAGACTTTTAGGAACAAAATATTTGCACTTAGATCCGCAAGTGTAATTTTATTTTCGGTCAATTTGAGTCGGATTTTTTATTTTATTTTTTATTTTTTTTATTTTTACAATAAAGTTCTCTTTTAGTGATAGTTTTAACGGTAAATTGTTGTATTCAACTCCATTAGTTGTATATTTTGATTTTCATTAATATAATGATTATTATGGGTTATGATAAACAAAAAATATATCTACAAAGTATTGATAAAGTTAGTGAAATATTTACCAAATAGAAAAGATTATGAACGGACAGGATTATCAAATTACAATCTTAAAAATCGTCTCTTTAAGAGGGTAATTTTGTCTTTATAATATATATATATATATATATATGAGTGGATTTCTCCACTAATTTTAATAAATTATTCATTTTATTTTTCAAAATTTAATACTCCCTCTCCTGAAATGTAAAAATAATCGTTGGGTTTATTATGTCAAGACCAAAGTAAATTGTCTAAAACAATATATACTATTGGAGAATGATAAAAATTGACTTGAGACTAACTTAAAATGACCTAGTCAAATCAAAATCTTCTAAAACCAAATTCACTCTGACCTCTGAAATTATTTGTTATTCTTTCTTTTTCTGCCGGAAATGAAACCCGAAATGCCATAAAGCCACCGGCCGATTAAAGTCGGAAAATACCAATAACGTTAACTAATCAAAAAGACCCAACCAAAAAAAACAACGAATAGAAAAGGCCGGTTCTTTATTTTCATCAAATTAATACTTTCATTTATCTTTCGATTCTTTTACGTTAATCACTTTAGCTCCATTAGCCCTTTTCAGTTTTCATTTTCATTTCATATTCCTAGTCATTTGTAGATTATTTTATACTGGTCTTTTCTTCCTCCGTTTCCCTTTTCTTTCCTCTTCTGTCTGCTGCAAATCTCGTTAATTAACTCAAAATATAGGAAAAAAAGGCACAATTCTGCGTGAATTTTGTGTTTGCATTCAATTACACAAGCACAGACGAAGAGGGTTGTCATTAAGAAACTAATACAGTTGAGAAAGGTGGGCGAAAAGGGTCGAGCGATTTACAGGATCTCGGCTTTAATCTGAAGCTTGATGGAACAGCTCATTAACTTCATTATACGACCACCCAGGTTAGAGAAAAGAGAAAAACAGATAATTTTGAGCCCTTTTCTATTCTGTTTGTCTATTTAGATGACTTTTGTGTTATGTAATCTGTTCCTTTACAATTGTTTGGTACTTTGTTGGGTTGTCATAGTTTTGGATTTCTGCACAAATCCTAAGTTAGAATTGTGGGTTTCTTTCCTTTTGATTGAGAGAAGTGTAATTGATGCTTTTTTCCGTGTGAGCAAATTTTGGTCTTTATTGGTTTCCTTTCTTATTATTTTATGCGTGTGTTCAGATTTGGTTATGGTTGTGAACTGTGATACCGTGATTCGGTTTGCTGTTTTCATTAAGTGGGGAGCATGTGGAATCATATGTGTTTTAAGTGTATGCTTTTGTTGGATTCGAAATTGTTTACAGTTACTTCATGACTAGTTGTCATTTAGGGAATACATTAAATTTTGGTTTTAATACTGTAGGACTAAGAGTTTCTTGGTGTAATTGCCACTCTGAACTTGGTTTTCCTGCAAAATCTCCATGTTGTCCCATGTTAGTGTGTGTCATGTTGAAGATGTAATTGCAAATCTGTAGTTTTCAAATTGCTTGGATAATTTTAGAAATTTTATATGTGGAGGGTGTATTTCGAGGAACATCAAGATGACTGTTAAAGTACGCAACACTTTAGAGTCAATATGTTTGCTAAGAGTTCCAAGATGTAGTGATTTATGCATGTAAATGCAAATTTGATTGAGTTGACACGTTCACTATTTTGGGATCTGTTGTTGGGGGATCAATTTCAATTGTTGTAGATTAGGTGGTGAATTGTTCTCTGGATGTTATACGCCGGATTGGGAAATTGAATAATTGGCTGGGCATTTGGCTGATTCTTTTCCCATTTCCAACTGCAGAGCTGAATATGATCCAAAAGATGATTTACTAGATCAGGAGTTTATGCTTAAAGGGAAATGGTACCAAAGAAAGGATTTGGAGGTAAGAAATTTTAGTTTGTGCAGTGTGTTCTCTTAGTTTCATGGAAGGAGAAATTAAAATCAATGTTCTGCATGTTTTGTTTCTGGAACTTGAATAAGCAGCAAAGCACCACTAAGTATCTTATTAATTTGTTGCACATTGAAGGGAATGAAACTAACTTCTTTTACTTGATTTTTTTTGAAAAGAACATCTCAAAGAGATAATACTATTTCTTATTGGGCCAATGATGTATTTGTTTATATTTGAACTTTTAGGTGTTCCTTCATGTTACTTTAGAAAATTAAAAATGTGAATGTTTTGCAGGTTGTAAATTGTCGGGGGGAGGTTCTTAAATGTAGTCATTACGTGCCAATTGGGTGGTCAGAAGGGAAAGCATTACCTTGCGTCATATATTGCCATGGAAACAGGTCAGTGGATAGATTATTTATAAGTATGCTTCTGGTATTCTAGCTTGTTTCGATGGTGTTATAATAGGTCCTTTCATAATTTGACCTTTCTGATCACTCCTAAGTTTCCCTAACAAAATATGCAAATCTTCAGTTCTGGGAGACATGATGATGCCGATTCTAGAATTATCAGGAACTTGTAACTTAACAAAAGGTTGTCTTTTTATGTTTTCTAGGTATCTTAGTATTTTCCTTAATAGAATGGGTTCGGTATTAGAAAACTTAGGGTAAGAATCTAATCGCCTAGTTATACTGGTCATTATGAACTGGTTCCGTATTTAATATTTTGGTTATTGATATCAAGAGTGTTCTCTTTCGTGGCTGCGTGCCCGTTTTCATGTTTTGATTAGCTTTTGTCCAAAAGTCCTTGCCTTTGATCATGGTGTTTGCCCCTCTTTTCCAGTTTCCACCTGCATCACATGTTAATTGCTGTTGACATGCAAGCTTCATGATCTAATGATAATGAAAAATGATTCATTAATTGTTTTTCCCCCTTTCCCTTGCCTTGGAACTCTGCTGCCTAGAATTGAAAATCCGAATGCCTGCATTTTGCATCTAGACATCTGAAAACCTGTCGCCATTTCATCATATAGAACACGTGTGGTTGAATTCCTTTTTTTTTTCTTCTGTGGTCGGTTAAGGTTTGTAATGAATTTTTCTTATGTTGATAATGCAGTGGGTGTAGAGCAGATGGAAGTGAAGCCGCAATTATATTATTGCCATCAAACATAACAGTTTTTACCCTTGACTTCTCTGGATCGGGGCGTTCTGGAGGGGAGCATGTAACTTTAGGTTGGAATGAAGTAAGTAGGATATGAAATATGCTATTCTTAAACATCAGATTTGGTGAGAGTCTCAAGTATATGTACATTATTTTTCAGAAATGAATTCTGTTTTTGCTTAATGTGTCAATGTGCCCGTATTAAGCTCAACGAATTAAAAAGAAAATAAAAAAATCTTAAGTACATTCAGTACTCCTGCTTACTATTTATGGGTTTTGCCATTTCTGAGAATTCTTTGGCTTTGACAGAAAGATGATCTCAGAGCTGTGGTTGATTATTTGCGGTCGGATGGAAATGTCTCTTTGATTGGTCTTTGGGGCCGCTCAATGGGCGCTGTAACCAGGTTGCTCATTATTTCATTTTAGTTTTTCTACCAAAGTTCTCGTCTTGAAATGTTCCTCTATTTTCTCAATACAGAACTAACATTATTCGAGTTTTTTCAAATTGCTGTAGTTTATTTGTATAGTTTTTGCTTTGCACCTGTATGTTTCACCTCTTTGATTCATAATGTGACAACAGTTGAGTAAAATTGAAAAGGCTCCTTGTTCTAGACTGACCTTTGCATTCTTGTTCAGTTATTGGTGTCATTTGGCTTTTTGTTTTGTGAGTAGGTCGATATTCCAGTGATGCTTCATAATATTTTAAAGTTTCTTATTTGTAAAGATGTATAAGAAACAGTTGTGACTTAGAAACTTATATAATTGGATATGTTTTATTACCGTAATAGATAAATCGCAAAGGGTCTGAGGGAGGCATAGTCAACTCACCTTCATTGAGTTATGTAGTGAAAACTCAATACACATATCTGTAGATCAATTCACCAACATAGATGAAGAGTTAGCAACTGTGCATTTTGGACATAAGTTTATGCAACCGGATTCGAGTGTGACTTCTTGAAAATTTCAAGTTATTCTTGGGAGACAATGGTGTTCAGTGAGCTGACTGCTTGTATGCTGCCTCTTGCAGCTTGATGTATGGAGCTGAGGATCCTTCAATTGCAGGAATGGTTCTTGACAGTCCTTTCTCTGATCTGGTTGATCTGATGATGGAGCTTGTGGATACCTACAAGATTCGGCTACCCAAGTTTACGGTAAGAACCGATTTGTGAAAGTTTGAGTTTTTCTTCTCTGCTTGCCTATCATCAACTCTGTGTATCTGGTTCTATTTTATAGCTTTCATTAATGTACTTGTACTTTCCAGGTTAAATTTGCAATACAGTACATGCGTCGAGCAATTCAGAAGAAGGCGAAGTTTGACATTACAGACCTAAACACAATAAGGGTATCTCTCTTCATCTTTATTTAGAGCTGTAATTTTGCATTGGAGGCACAATTCTTTGTACAAGATTATTCCCATAAATGATTTTAAGGTGTTCAGGTTTAAGTTCTTACAAATGGGTGGATTGTTTTCCTGTAAATTCTTCATTGATTACTGCCTTGGTGTAGGTTGCCAAAACTTGTTTTGTTCCAGTCTTATTCGGACACGCAGTCGACGATGATTTCATCCAACCTCATCATTCTGATCGCATATTTGAAGCTTACGTGGTAATTACTTTGCTGGTGTTTGTCTTTCCTTCCTAGTTCTGCTCTAGCAAAAACTCCTGAATGTGTTATTAGGGCTTTCTTCTTCTTTTGTTTCAAAATTCAATTGGTTCATGTGTCAACATTTTATTTAATCTCAACCTGGTTTAGTTGTTGGTTTGTATGTCTTTACGTGTTTCCAATCATTAGTTTTAAATTCTGGATGTGTGTTCATCCTGTTTTTCGCTTGAATTTCTCAAGGGGGACAAGAATATAATCAAGTTTGAGGGAGATCACAACTCTCCTCGCCCACAGTTTTATTTTGATTCAATCAGTATCTTTTTCAACAATGTTTTGCAACCTCCCATGGATGAAGCTGGAGGTGCATTCTTTGACATGCCGCGTGATTATATTGGCAGGGTAAAATCGATCTCTTACATGCATATCTTCGTGTTTGATGTTAAGTGACCATTATTTTTAATCTAATGTTATTCTCTCTTGTTGACTTACCACCTAATAGGGTACATGGAATAATATTCATGAAGTGAGAAGCTCAGATCAGTTGTTGACTTCCCCAGCAGGTATGACTGTAGCCCTTTGTTTCTCAAGTTTAGAAATATGTTCCAGGATTTCTCCTGTTTGAACGCATTTTTAACTGCTATCTGCTCTTGCAGCAAGCACTGAAGATGCCATTAGGCAGTTGCGGACCAAAAGACCTGTAAGCAGAATTGAGGTAAGACAAATGTTTCTTTGATCAACGTACTTGATTTTAATTTGAGATGAAGGTAGATCACGTAAATGTGTGTTTGGTGATGTAACTCTTTGATTGGATTGTAAATTTTATGTAAAAGGTTCTAGTTATATAATGTCACAATTTCACTGTTTCAGGTCCCCTCGGATATGTCATCAAAGAATGAACAATCTGAAACTCAGGTATTTTTCACTGTAACAGTCTCCTCCTACTTGTTGAGAATATTAAAGTATAACATTAAATACTTTGGGTTCCTCAAAGCTATATCGTGGAACTTAATGATCCTTTTGTTGGAAATGTTCGAGGAAGTTAACTAGATCTGGAATTTATTTTAGTTGCTGCAACAAATGGAAATGATGTTGATTTCTCTTTTCAAAGGCCTCTACCAAAATTCGTTGCATGACTATGATGATGTTCTTTGATTGATGAAGTTCACCTATATTTTTTTTCCTTTATGTTATATTTTATGGCTCGAAATTTTGTGAAATCTTTTTATAATACAGGAAGGAGTCTCTGGGAGTGACCCTGATGCTTCTTCATCTTCAAGGATGATAAGCTTTGAACTTGCCAACGGTGATCCTTATGGACCTCATGTGCCGGCATCAATAGATGATGACGAGTATGTGGAATACTCGCTTGATAGTTTGGCAGATTTCCCGAACAACATTGAGGAAGAAGAAAGAGTAAGTAGATTGCTTTGTTGTCCCATCTTTCTGTTGTTTATTCCAATATAATAGGTATATAATGCTTCGATCTACTGAAAAATTCTAGATGCTCATGGAAGCGATACTTGCGTCACTGAAGGATGTGGATGTCCAAAAGCCTTGTATAGAGGAGCCATCCTTGAAAGCCAATGAACTGCTGCAACCTACGAAAGAGGATTATCAGGGGGATTCTCGATCTGCATCAGCACCCTCTAATGCCGCCAGGATATCAGCCAATGGTCCTGATTTGGTACTTGAAGTTCCACCTCTTAGTTCCAGCAAACGGTCAGATGAACCTCCTCCTACCACTGTTATAAGTCCTCAAGCAAGAACAGAAGATGGGACACCCCCTTCAAATGACACTTCGAAGAGTAACCAAAGTTCACCAGAGAGTGAAGTTATTGATACAAAAGCCACTGTAACAGTTGTAAAGAACCCTTCAAGTAACATCGTTGATGGTTTATTACGGCGTTGGGATCTCAACTTCTTTGGAAAAAGATGACTTTTTTTATTTGGCTCCAAGAAAGCAAAAGATGTATCTAGTAGCTGTGGTAACAAAGATGCTGGCTGATATTAGTGTCATTGTGAGGTATACTTTCTGAAATAGAAACGAACAAAACCACTGAAACAGGAACACTGGAAGATTCTTCTTCTGGTATAAGTAGGGATTTCGACATTGAGGATGGGAGCAAGTTTAGCTTCATTCCTGGAGATAAGAAGGCATTGAATCTTTGCTAATTATCATTGGACATTGTGTTTAAGGTAGATTATTAGGAAAGTTAGTGTTGTAAGTTGTAATTATGATTGGGCAGATGTAAGTTTGTTTCTTGGGGGTGTACAGTTTGATATTTAATACTCAATTGTTAATATCTAAGAATCTCTGTATACTTTTCTGACTGTTTGTAAAGTTTTCAGCTTTGAATTTGTTGTTTTAATTGTGTAAATGGCCTGAACGTTTCTAACGTTTTGCCTTCAATTTACAGGATTAAAAGTCCATTATTGTGGGAGGAAATGTGCAACCTTTCCTGCAGCTTATAAAAGAGTCTCTATTTCCAGTATTTGGTATTTCCGTTTTTTCCCACTCCTTTTTGAGTCTTTTCCTTCCCTTCTCAGTTTTCGGTGCTCATCATTCTTCTTAGTTCCAGTTCGATCGTAGGGTTGTTTAGTGCAAAGTAGCCCCTACAGTTTCCGTTGTATCCTGAAAAACAGTAGCGCCGATTCCTCTAGCACACCTTGTGAGGGGCTAAACTGTTTTAAGGACATTGTAGTTATCACGTGCCTCGGATTCCTCATTGTCTCAACAATATTTTCTTACGAATACACTCTAGCCTATTCTCTTACACATTCTAATGACAATTAGTCAATTTTTTACACTGAAGAGGTCACAATCGACTGGCCGTGTTTTGTTCAGCTCTCCTCGTGGTTGACTATGGACTAAGACGGGGAACAACTAACTGTCTTTGACCAAAACCCATCTCTGTTTTGAATCCTCATTCCTGCTCTAGCTTCTGTATTCTGCTTTTGATTTGCAATTTTCTTTCGATCAAAATTTTCCTTTGATTGTTTTGGTTTGATTTTTTTTTGTTTTCACAATGAACAACAAAAGGACAAGAGAGGATATGGTATCCTCGTCCGTCCTTGATCGTATTCAATCGGCCTTGGACAGAGTCGAAACCATGCTGATATATTCCGATCGTCGCAGTAAGGTATATTTTGAATCGAGGACATTGAGGTTATGGTTAAGGAATCTCAAAACCTTTGTCCTCATCTTTTCTAACACAGAGTTGGGCAACGATAATCATGTTGGTCTTTTCCTCCTAAGAATTGCAGATACGGTCCAGACATTTGCCCGGAAAGCTGACTCTTGGAGGGATGGTATCGGGATGTTGAACAATTTTTTTTTTAATGACAGGTATGTCATCAAATTTGAATTGCTTTGCAAAGACGCCAGGGAGTGGGAAACCAAGACTTGTTTGCCATTGAAGTTTGAAATGGAAGAACGATACGTGACCCTGCAAATGAAATCAGCTAATGATGTTATTCATAAGATCATCAGGGGCAGCCCATATCATCAAGTCCTGGATATTCTTGATTCCATCTTGGAACAACTAGTCGATCTTCTGGATCTCGATAAAAGATGCAACTCAAACCTCGAGGTTATTATAGGCCTCGAAGACGCAGCTCCAGCCTTGAGAGATCAGATGGTGTTCCTGATAAGTCTCATCCGATTTTCCATTTCCATTCCCATGGATGGGCCGCCTTACCATTGTCATACGCATGATTTGTTGCTGGCTCACGCTGAACCTGTTTCCATCACTGCTGCACGTCTGCTTTTGAAGCTCAATTGTGTAGAATATGTCAGAGCAGATGGGATTTGGGATGAGATCTCAAGCTTGGTGTCAAGGGTCAACCCGTTTGATCTTCACATCCATACTCAGGTCCTAATCAATGGTGCCAAATCCAGTGATCAAAAAGTGGACTTTATTGCAATCACGGATGTCCTTGATGGTTTCACATCTAAACTTTGGTATCTATTGACTCGACCGGAAACTTATAGCCATGTGATTCCCATGGAGGATCAACTGCAAGAGCTGTACCAATGGCTTAGATTCTTGAGCATCACTCTCAAGCAGCCGCCACACAACTTTGATCTGAAGGCCAAGGCAGATATCATTTAGAAAGGCGGTGTGTGATGCCGGAGTTTTGATTTGCTCAGTTCACCACCTCCACACAGATGTAGAAGTAGTAAACAGCAAGCTTTCTTCTTTCCGGGATTTGTTGCAAACAGTCAAGTTAGTTCTGGCAGAAGTTGCAGAGGAATTGAGCTTCGGCTTTCCGATGGTTGATGATCAGTTGGTTTTGGTCGATTTGGTGATAGAGAAGCTGAATGATCACAGAATTATTAGTGGCCAACTAGTTGATGTTCAAGCTATTAAAGGAGGCCTCTTGTTCTTGAGATCTCTCTTAGGAGACATTGAGGAGTTGTGCCATCAACATGAGGTGCTCGAATCTCTCTGGGATCACATTTTAACAGTGGCATACAAGGTGGAGTGTTTCATTGACCGTCTCCATCATCAGGTTCGTGGTGCTGGTCTCATAGAAGCTCTTTCGGTAGTTACATCGGCGTCCATCATAAAAGACATCGAGGACGTTAAGGCAGATGTCTTGACTCATTCTGGTAACAGAGGTCGAATGGAAGTCGAGGAAGTAACCAAGACTACATATGCTCATGTTCCACTGCCAAGGACTCCTTCAACCACTAATGAAGTCGTGGGTTTTGATGAGGACGCAGTTTCAATTCTGAACCGTGTTCAGAGAGGATCGAAGCATTTGAAAATCATTGCCATTGTGGGTAAAATGGCGGGATTAGGTAAGACCACATTGGCTGCAAAAGTGTACAATGATCCTTCCATTCTGCTTCACTTTTCCATTCGTGCATGGGCTCCTATCTCTCAATCAGTGGACAAGGGCAAAGTGTTACTTGATCTCCTCAATTAAATTGATTCTAGCCAATACTCTCAGCTGGCTTTCCTTCGGGGGATGGTTCACCCGGCTGACGCCCATGCTTTGCAACAAGCAATATGGCGTAGTTTGAAAGGAAAGAGGTACCTTATCTTTTTGGATGACATGTGGGACTTTGACGCTTTGGGAGGATCATTCCCCGATGATCATATGGGAAGTAGAATTATTCTGACAAGTCGTCAAAGTGATGTTGCTCCTCCTGCTCTGCTCGACCAAGAACCTTATGATCTTTGTCCACTCAATCAAGTACTAAGTTTGGAGCTAATTGAGAAGAGGTTATCCCCAAGAAATGGTTGGACTCCTGAGTTACGTGGTCTTGGAATGCAAATTGCTAAAAAATGTCATGGATTACCTTTGACAATCTGCATTACAACTGGACTTCTGGCAAATATAGAGCCAAGTTGTTGGAGGGAAGTTCCAGATGGTTTGAAATCAGGGGATACATCCATCGCTACACAATGTTGGAGCACATTGGAGGTGAGTTGCAAACATTTACCTGATAATTTAAAGGCATGCTTTTTGTATTTTGTAGTATTCTCTGAGGACCAAGAGGTTTCTGTTAGAAGGTTGCTACGTTTATGGATGGCCGAAGGGTTTGTTCGGAAAAATACCTCAATGAGGCTAGAAGATGTTGCTGAGGGCTATCTTAATGATTTAGTCAGGAGAAGCTTAATCATGGTTGCCAAAAGAAGATCAGATGGTGGAATCAAAACATGTCGCATTCATGACTTGCTGTATGAGTTTTGTTTAAAGAAAGCCAAAAGCAAGAAGTTCTTCCATTTATTAAAAAGGTGTGGTGAGCTTTCAGTACCTCATGAGCCTCGCAACTTCCGGAGGTTATGCATAACCTTTAAGGTGGAAGATTTTGAAGATTCGAAGTTTTTTTGTCCTCGTGCGCGTACTCTGCTTTTCAACGTCCCCGAGGAAAGAAAATGGATGAGGAAAGCACATTTTCTGAATCTGTCTTCCATAATCCACAGCTTCAAAAATCTAAGAGTGCTGGATTCAGAGGAAGTTCGGCTACACAATGGATTTCCGCACGGAATAGAGTTGCTTGTTCAGTTGGCCTTCCTCGCAATTCGAGGAGGTATAGAAGTCATCCCATCATCAATAGCTAAACTCTCAATTCTGGAGACTCTGATTCTATTTGTGGATGCAGCAGATTGCACGCTTTCATTGCCAGATAGTATGTGGAATCTACAGAGATTGAAGTACATTTACGTAAGAAATGAAAGCAGTTCTGATGGTGTTCGTTTGCCAACCAAAAAACTTGACACCTCATCCATTTTGTACAAGTTGGATAGGTTATCCGGTGTGATGATTCTTCATTGGGACGGCATGGAACAGACAATGAGAAAGTTTCCAAACATCCGTAGGCTAAAATGCAGATTTTCGACTATGAAGGTGGTACAGAAAAACTTGACAAGGTTGTAATACTAATTCCCGAGTTCTTAACTCAACTAGAATCGCTTCATCTGTCGCGTTCTTATAAGTTCCTTGCTACCACTTCTTTTGAGTTGGTTTTGCCTGCAAATTTGAATAAATTTACGTTGTCAGACTTTCATGTGTCTTGGAGGACCATTTCCACGATTGGTGAGCTGCCAAACCTTGAAGTGCTCAAATTGCTCAATGTATCATTTGAAGGGAAAACATGGGAAATTAAAGAAGGGGAATTCTCAAAACTCAGGGTCTTGAAATTGCATTCTGAGGAGCTTGTCAGTTGGAGAGATTGCCGTGATGTATTTGAGTGCTTGCAGTTTCAGAAATTGGCATTGATCAGGTGTAAAAGTTTGGAAGAGATGCCTACTTACCTAGAGTCCATTCCTACACTTGAAATGATTGAGGTCTATCATTGTTCAAAGAATCTAGAAGCATTGGTGCGGCAGATTGTTCAAACACAGGTGGACTTCGGAAATTCGGAGTTGAAGATTACTATCCAATCCTGAAGATCTTTCTTTCTCTATTTTCTCTACTTTTCTTTGATGCTCACCCTGTTATATAATGCAATATCTCAATGTCAGTGATGTTTGTATTCTTGATGAGAAGTTTTCGGAGATTTTATATTGGGGGGGTTTTACTGTTTTTTTATAGAGTCATCATGTCACTGTGTAGTACCTGTAAATGTGGCTCAGGATATTACCCAAACTCTACAATTCCTCATTAATTCTGCTAAGACGGACCCCATTCTGGGGTACATTCATGTAACTTGTTGGATTTATGTTTCCATGATTCATACCTTCCAAGAGGCTTTGTATTGGAAACCGCAAGATGGTGAATGTTCTTGTTTCTGCTGAATTCAAAAGAAGTATAGAACCATTCTGCCAACACATGATGTATTTTATTTGTTCATGGTGAATGTTCTTCGTCATCAACTATTTGCCCAAATTATATAATTTATAAGAAGTAATGGGATCGTGTCACAAAAAAGTGTCATAGAGGATCTTTTGCTCAAAATAAAGAGTTTATTATCTTGTCAACTTAATCGTCTTGCTAAGAATCTGTTCTTAATACACCAGTTTTGAATTCGTCGACTTTATCATCGAGGTTAGTAAAGTGACGAGAAAATCGACGTAATTTTACACACATTTTAATTCCGTCGACATTTTCGTCTCCTTAAGTATCTCGACGCTTAACTCGACGATAATTCCTTGCACAAAATTTTCACTCGCTGAGATTGGTGTCTAGCTCGAACAAGTTGGCGACCTTATTTTCTTGTACCAATTTTAATTTTTGACGACTTTAATGTTCTCATATTTTTCAGGAAAATGAATGCTTGGAAAATTATTGAAAAAAAAAAAGAATCTGAATAGTTTACATTGGTTATTGTTTAAGATAAAAAAGAATTTCCTATATGAATACATTATATATGCGTGGTTCATACTACATAAATGAATTTAACATGAAATGGAGAGATGATAAAATTCTAAAGTAGTTTGAAGTTTTAACCATCAGCCAGAAGCTGCATTGCTGATTCAACTAATGAATGAACGGTGGTTCTATGCCGGCTCAGCCCGACTGTTCCAGAGAAGATGTTAAAGCTCTCAATATCAGATATGGTGTCCAGCATGTATTCCAGCTGCATCTGCATTCCTAAATTCCTGAAAATCCTAATATTTTGCTTCTTGTCTTTCATCATCCAGATTGCCAACTCCAGAACAAACCTCCTCATTCGCGGAACCTTGATGGATGGATACGGATAAGCCTTCAGGAGTTGAACAAGTTTATTAGCCATTTGCACTTCTGTAATGCCGGCTTTCTGAAACATGACGCTTGATTGGCGCGATGTCATGAAGGCGAAAACACGGGCGCCTAATCCTATCATTACTTCCTGTAACTTCATTTCTTCAGTCATGATCTCTCTGAGAACCTGCCAGAAGAGAGTTTGATATGGTTAATATACCAATGTAAAATTTTTCGAGTTGCATGTGTATTAGGCCTACTTTTGTAGAAAAGAATGGTTAATTTGCAGAAGGTAATTTACCGTTGGTCCTGCAGCAGTGATGTCTTTTAGCTGATCAAAGCAATCATCTCCGCTGAAAGCACATAGATTTCGCAGGATTCTGGCTGCATTGATCCTAAGTATTGGATCTTCCAATGCTTCAACAAGCTTCTCATTTACATTTAGTTTCAAAATGCGTATGCAATTGCACTCGCTCTCGAATGCCAACATTGCCAGTGCTGCTCCAGCGGCGACCTTCACTTCTTTGTGCTTTTCGTCAATTGTTTCCTTAAAAAAGATGTTGAACAACTCCTTCAGGACTCCACCAGTGCCTCCAATTATCTCGGTCGCATCCTCTTCTATTGCCAGATTCCTTAGTATCTCAATTCCCAACTTTTGTAATTGAGGATGTCTGTCTCCATATCTTAATATGTCTCTGATGTTGCTGATTGTGAAAACTATTTCTGAAATCTCTTTCCTGAGTTGTTTGCCTGTGGAACCGGTTGTGCTCGCTAGCATTTTGACAACTTGCAGAGATCGTTTCACTGTTTGAATCTGTGACGACGAGGCTGCTTCGTGTGTCAACAGCCTATGTCCTGCATGAGTACAATCTATGATTTTTGGAAGAAGGCCTCTTGTATTGCCTATCTTGCCACAATTGTCATGATCCCGTGCGAGCTTCTTCAAAATTGTGAGCCCTAAATGGTTGAATGTCCAATAACTGTAATTTTCATCATCAAAGATGATCTTCTTTTCAGGTATCTCATCAGCTGCATCACCCACACTCCTGCTAATGTGAAGCAAGGATGCTATTGATTCCATCGCGCCTGGTATACCGGCTACACGAAGGGAATTCTGTTTCTTTCCAGCAAGCTGTGCTACAATTTCTGCTGCTGATTTCCTGATCTGTTCTTCCTGAGGGTCTTTCCAGTTTAGCATTTCTACCAGTCTTTCCATCACAGACAAGTTTATGCCTATCTTTTGGAGGGTGTCATCTGAGAATCGCTTACTTGCAGCAAATGTTTGGAGAATTTGAGCCCCCATGAGCTGTTCTTCGGGGAAGTTTGAGGCCAGGAGATCCATTGCAAATGAAACCATATCCATTTTCAAGCCATCGAAAATGCTTCCATTAACACAAAGCGAATATGCATCATAGAAAAATCTTCTAGTTGCAACCATACCTGATGGTGATGTTCCCAATTCACACTCATTAGTAACCTTATCTAATATCTTGCAAAAGATGACATTCCATTCCCAATAGGCTTTCTCCAAGAGAAACAACAAGGCCTCTGACAGCGCCAGCGAATAGAATATAAGCAACGCCGCCTTCCTGTTCCTCTTATCCGAGTCTCCCTTCTCCAGTTCCCCAAAATTCTGCTTGATCAGCTTCATCAAAGAGAGTACAACACAGGCGGTCGCAGAAGCGAGTTGCAATCCATATAGAACTTTGCTGACATTTCTTGATATGAACATCCATCCACTGTATGGAACAAGAGGAACTTCTGAAGTGATCCATGTTCTTGTTGGCATCCTCTGCTGTTGAAAATTCTTGCGCTTGGCCTGGATGGCATTTTGTGAAATCTCCCTGCTTTCTCCCCTGTTTGGATTTCCAAGTGCTGCAATAGGCCTAAAAATCCTCTTCACAACTTTGACAACAAAATGAGAACTCGATTTGATTGCGCGAAAACTGCTGATCCCTACCAGAGAAATGGACCATATTGACTGATGTTGCCATTCAAGCTCATGACTCCTGCTAAATATCCTAGTACTTTCAATCAACAAGATAGTAGTTATGAACCAAAAGTCAGTTCTGTCTAAAGTGATAGCAAAACCACCAAGAAGAACAACAGTTGCCCATATGAAACCAAGTGTTCCCAATCCAGTTGCTGCTTTCTCTAACACAGCAAGCCTCAGAGCAAAAAGGGTCAGCTTCTTTTCTGGCGCGCGAATTCCCGGCACTTTCCTTGCAGTCCTGATTGAATCTCCTGTGCTGTTTGTGTTTTCTGTCTCAATGGAGCTTTGTGGTTCAAGGTTTGTACCTTGAACAGGACTAGAACTGCCTGTTTTACTGAGCTTTCTGTTAAGCTCAGAAATATGCAGATGAACACTTCCCTCAGTACCTATTGATGTTGTAGGCTCCATCATGAAATATCTTTGCACATTGATGATAATTGAACAAAAAGAAACAAAACCCTCCTTCCAAAATGGAATCTTTTTAACTGGATTGAACTTGAAAATGGAAGTGGAATAAGATTGAATCAAGGACTAATGAGTTTCTTGATAATGATGGAATGTGGAAATTATGGAAAGATGGAATATTGTGGTTGGTGTATATATATAAAAAATAAAGCAAATCAAAGAGGAGAATGAGTTTGGAGTTCACGTTATTAATAAGGTGATGAAATGAAAAGGAAAACAGAAAGGTAGGTTGCTTTTTTCCTTGGCTAACAAGGTAAATTGCTTTCCTTTTTATCAAGTGTCAACTGGATTTGTTTTTCTGGAAAATTAAGTTTAGTTTGCTTTTGGTTTTGGATTTTTGTTTCCTTTTGGTCTTGAAATTTGATTGTCTTTAGTAGGCAGCTTCCTTTTTTTTTTTTTGTGTGCTGCTTTTGCTTGTAAGTGTCTTCATTGGTGGATCATTCTTTAAACAGTTACATTTATAATCATTGTCCAAACTAAATTTTATGCAATAAAACCAACTCATTGAGTGTATTTTTGAATAAGCGAATTTGTGTAACCATTGTAACCACCATTCTGAAACAAATGGATATTTTCAATGATTTGTGTAACACACAGCTACTAATAATATTAATCATCTCTTGCTTTTATTGCCTCTGAAATCTTATCTAAAGTATCCATCAAAATGATTTGACCAATAATAAAACAATAATTCTTGTCATTTTCTCCACTTTCTCCATTAACAGTGAAATGTTATAGTTTTATAGTACTCCTTCCGTCCCATAATTATTGTCCACTTTACCCAAAAAATTTTGTTCCAAAATTATTGTCTAATTTGACTTTTTATGGATCAAGTTATACATTTGTCCTTAGTAAAAAATATTATCTATAAAATCTTAGTGGTTAAATAATTACTTATGTAGGGGTATATCCGGTTGTTTCAGGTAAAATATAGTTAAGTTTGACCAAAAATAAAATCTTTTATTTTAGTAAAACTGGACAATAATTATGGGACGGAGAGAGTATTTCTTTGAAGTTTCAAATGTCCAGAAACTTGATTCCTTGGTGGAGATTTTGTGTTTAGTTGGATATGGTAAAACCACTTTCAGACAAATTGATTTTTTTGACAGCTAATATATACGTCCTCATGCTAAAGACTTTGGATGCATTGACCTTGAATTACTGTTGAATCCATTGACCACAACTACAATGTTCAAGGAAAAATCATTTTTATAATCTTTTCGAAGAAGAAGATAAGTTGTAAAGTTAATCTCTCAAAGATTTGAATAGGCCATTGAATGATTCGGGTCTTTCCGAATTATATTAATGCAAGTTATAGTCTCTTGAATGAAATTGTAATACACTAAAATATATTAATATTTTTTTTATTTGAGCTAATATTTTATTTTTATGTAGAATATTAATTTTATTTAAATATTTTTAATCTTTATGTTATGAAGAATAAAATAAATCAGAAAAATAATGTCTTTATTGCTAAATTATATTATTAAAAAGATTAACATGCTTATATAAATATAATCATGTGTTACAACTATACAAAGATTAATTTTTATGGTACAGTTAAAAATAAATAAATGTTTTTTTTTAAAAACTCATATAACATACTTTTATGGTCATTAAAAGTAGTTGAGAGAAATGAAACAAAATAGAGAAAAATAAAATAAAAAGTGAAAAGAGACTGTTTTGTTATTTTTATTTATTTTAGGAGTTATTTTTAAAATTTTTAAAAAATACTGGGGTGTTTTTGTATTTAAATTTATTATTTTATTAAAAAACTAACGGAGATCTGTTAATTTAGACGGAAAATAAGCCAATTGGATGAAATTGGCAAAAATTTCAAACATTAAGGTAAAGTTGGCTAACCAAAAATCTATTGGGTATAATTGACGACGAGGGCAAAATTTTAGATAGTCACGATATTTTTTCCGATTCGGGTATTTCCGAATTCTCATAAATCAATCCAATTCTTCGTAAAAGTAAATATTAAGTCGAACAATTTGAAACCCAACAAAAATCTTATAATAATGGAGCGCATGACGTCCTTCGGTCGACTCACCCCACAGGAACCCTAACTTAAAAATTACATTAAGTAGATCGAACATTCTCCACTTGATCTTAATAAACAACCAACTACAATAAGGAATCCATGGTTGATTATTTCTCTAACCATGGCTTTTTGATTTTTGCCTCTTGGTGATTCCATGAGCTCAATCAAAACTAACGAAGCTCTATGTTAACACTCCAAAACAAATGGAGTTGAAGTAGAAGTAAGTTTAGAGTGTCCAGAAGGGGCAAAATCAGGTGGTTGTGGCTTGTGGGATTTAGGGTTTCAAATCTTGAGGGAAAATTACAAAACCGAAAGTCTTCTTGAGTTAAGTTAAAGACTTTGTACGTGTGTACCGTGTCCAAACTTCCCTTGCAAGAATACCCCTTTCTAACATGACGTAATCTCATCTTGTTTAAGTAAGATTTTTAATTGCCCATTCTTTTGTTCCACCACAGAAGACGACTTGACTAAGAGAATAGGATTTTTCCTAATACACTTGCCTGAGAATCTGATTTGACACTAATATCCTGTACAACATCCCATGGTTAACTCATGTGTGCCAGCCTAAAGCGCTTCTGCTTGTAAACTTAAGCTAGCTTTCTGTATAACAGCATCCTGATCCTCAATAGGCAACCGGGTCTGACCGGTATTCCATGTCTGTCACTAGCCCTAAAATTCATAACCTCCCTATTCAAGTTGGTGATTGCCTATAGATCACCCGCCCCACCCTGCTACCATTGACTATCACATATTATGATATACATATCCATGAACTTACAGAATTATGATGTCACATTAGGTGGAATCTTTGATAAATCATCCTGCATGCATTTGAATACCTGCATGGAACTAGTCTATACGACTGAGATTACTTCAACTCTTGGTAATGCATGGACTTGACTATACTATCCTGGTCTCAATAATTAGTCAGAAACTTGGATTCGGCTCCTAACCATGACCCACAAACATGAACTGAGAGTTTACACTTCAAAACATCTGACTATTTTCAGATTAGTTTCAAAACTTTTCAGTATTTTCCTGAGGGTTATATAAATATAATATCATATTGAAGCCACAAAATTTCAGAGTACCTTCTTCAGTTACATTTTTGTGGCTAATGTATACCATAAACCATATTTCAGGGTTTCCTCTCTCAGAAAACAGAGAAGGGCACACAGAAATCAATTTGCTAATGGAGTTGGACCCCAAATACAAAACTAGAACATCAAAAGCTCCTTGAGTCATTTGACATCATATACAACCATCAACTAGAAATGAAATTGGCAAAACCTGACAAGATAGTTTCTTTCTTACTCGATCCATATTCATGCGTGTCAAAATGTAAACATTTTCAACATAGCACAACCCTTTCTCTCTGTTCAGGGTTTCAAATCAGGACATAAGGACTTCAAATCAACAAATTTAAGCCTCGAATTAAAAAAAGGCACTTAAATAATAATAATAATAATAACAATTCTTCCTTGTCCAATGGAAGAAAAAGTAAAGTTACTGGCTTTATGCCCATTGGAAAGCATATAGCTGCAAAATCTTGTTTGAAAATGCTCAAAGGTTATTTTCGCATAACATTTGTTTCTTTTGTTTCTGTAAACTGTTCAGAACCACTACCAATAAATAAAACTACAAAAAAATGTGAATATTCTTCAAACTATCTCATATCAATATCAACAAGAATACCCACAATAGTAAGTACAACTTCTTAGGTTGATCTTGGCAGGTGAGCACATGAAATGAGATTCCAGCAACGTGCTACCTTTCACCTCTCCATTTAAGAAACACAATGATGTTACCTTATAAAATCTATGCAGCCACTTAATCAGGATAGTAAGGTCAACCAGTAGTACCCCAGCTTACACCATGATATCTCCTGCAAGAAACGTAAAATAGTAAGATGGATTTCTCACCAAGACAAAAGAACATTTACATTAAAAAAAAAAAAAGAACAACAATTGAAGGTAAAAGCACTTCAAAAATCGTAAGTCTAGAAACTCATTAGGGCGGCCATTTTGAGAGTAAGGCAACAACAGTATATTTCACATTTAAACTTCGAATTTCGTATAAAAGTAAGATGAGCATTGCCGCAGCCCTGCTGAAAGTAGATGACACTTTAATCTAAAGTGTAACCTATAGGAAAACAAACCTCAAAAGGCCTATTTCATGAAATAAACTTATCTTAGAAGCTTACATATCTCCATCTGCGCAACAAATCATCCAGATAGCTAATAAATCTGTCTACTGAATAGGCAAGATGGTTTACTGATTTTTTTGAAGTTTTGGTTCAAGACAAGTTGAACTTTAACTCTGCCAAGAACACAAACCCGCAAGTGCAAACTATACTTGGCAGCCACATAATTTGGTTGAAAATGAACCGTACATCAAACACATATAACATAACTTTTCATAATAAATAATAACTGATGAGCTTACATTAGTCATTGAATACCTCCTCTTTAAATAACGAAATTCCTTTGATGCACTTTAGCCTTCTCAGCATCAATTACTGATTCAACCAACTTAACAGCACCATTCAAGTCCCCTTCCTTATTGACAACCACATAATCGAAATTGCTCATATGCTTAACCTCCTCCTTAGCCGTAGCAACTCTAACAAGCAAATCCTCCTTAGTTTCCGTCTTCCTACCAATCAATCTCTTCACCAATGCCTCCTCACTTTCAGCAACCAAGAAAATGAATACTGCAGACCCACCCAATATCTTCCTCAAAGTTGCAGCACCCTGTATGTCAACTCTCAACACAATGTCATTCCCTTTAGCCATTTCCTCCCTAATCTGCTTTTTCGGCACACCCTTATAATCACCATACACCAATGCATACTCCAACAGCTCATTATCTTGAATCATCTTCAAAAACTCATCTTTGCTCACAAAAAAGTAATCTTTCCCATCAATTTCACCAGGCCTCATTGCCCTGCTTGTGGCAGTAACAACAAAATGAATATTTTCCCTAACTTCCCTCAACTTTTTAATCACAGCATCTTTCCCAACCCCACTTGGACCACTAATCACAATGACCAGAGGATTATTCTCAGGCACCAATGGAGCAGAGCTAAAAGACGTCCCCAATGAAGCCTCCAGAGCCCGGAAAAGCTCGGCCCGGTCAGCGGTTTCCGGGCTTGGAATCGGCACTACTGCAGGCCGTCTTGCATCGCCCATTGGTGAATTGCAGGAGAAGAAAGAACGGGGAAGCGAAATTGGCCTTAGAGGGTTTAGGGTTTTTGAGGAGGAAGTGAGAAATTGTGGATTTGGGGAAGAATTAACAAAAGGGTTGACAGATTTTCGATGAAGGAAAAGAGGGTTGGTGTTTGATTTAGTTAAGGAAGAGCAAAGCCTCCTAAGAAGCATCGAACTAGGTTGGGGGAGTTTATTATGTAAGAGAATTTGTGGGGAAGATGTAACAAGTTGAAGAAGAATCGGAACAAGAGAATAGGAAGGGATTTCGTGGATGTATGGATAAACAAATGTATCAATCTTTTGCCGCCAATTTTGTCTGGGGATTCGGTTTTAGGGATATCTCCTCTCTTCTTTTTTTCCTTTCAACAAAGGTTTGCCTTTTTCAAGTTGTGTTCTTTGCATTTTCCTTATCCCAAAACTTAAGGTTTATGTATAAGTTATCATGCTCATGGATGTGCCTACAATTGAGATAAAAGGAATACTAACAGTTGATTACTGATAATATCTTGAAGAGTGATAATTTATGTAAGAAAAATTTGACAAGAAAAAATTTCAGAATGAGGCGACTAAATTTTAACTTTATTTTTTTTACCCCTACATGGATAATTTTTAAAAGAAATATATATGTAGGAACGGTTATGATTCATTTACTATTAAAATTTCCTGTAAAATTTTCTTGTACGAATCATTATCATATCCTTGAATGTAAAAAAAACAAACAAAGAAAATTGAGGTGCTACCATCCTTAACTAGAGATTAGATATTCCACTTTAAATTTGTTGATGGATCTATCGAGATACTTATAACGAAGCAAAATTATTAGTGATTGAATGTGTCACCATGAGATATGGAAAACAAAAATTTTCTTATTTGCAAAAATATGCTACCGTGCTGCAATGATGTCTAGCAGGAAATTTAAAGATTATCCACAAGTATACATCTTTTCATGATGGGATAAGGAATCAAATTTAGTCCAAACTTGCTAATATCAAGGCATCTTGAGCCAAAACTAGTTTGAAGATTTAAGAAGTTTTATCAGAAAGAGTCATTTCTTTGATTAGCACTGCTGCAATTTTATACCCTCCGACAAAAATTTCCTTGCTGCAATGGTAGTTACTGAAGTTTGTAGTACCTTCAAAGAGTAAGAAGTAAGAAATGAATAATATAGAATGCAATTCTTGACAATAGCATTATTCATTGGGGATGGAACTATAAATTGGGTGAACTCAACGGACTCGTTTGAAGTACAGTTCATTGATACAAAATTAATAGTTGTTTTGTGCTAGGGTCAAGTAAGCAAATTTTTCACTGAATTTGCAGAGTACATTAAAGGAACTAAAGAATTAGTAGGGCATAATATCAGATTCGAACGTCCACATGCGATGGAAGGTTTTTCTTCTTCCATTTTGTTCTGCAAGTTTGATGCGTAACCCCGAAACTAGCAATGCTAAACGTGTGCATCTTCTCCATGCATGCCTGAAATGGCTTCTTGCTTCTAGGGTTTTGAGAGTGTGCTTGTTTCTGCAGAACATGCCGGAATTACTGTACAGTCACGGACCAAATTATACAGTGCAAATCAATGTTCTTCTGCGATGAAACCTGATGGACTTTACTCTGTCATGCAATCTACAGTCTACAGGACTCTTACACCAAGGTCAATACCACTGACTTCCAGATCCAACTTGAGCAGCAGCAACTTTCCTTGCCATGTACTGCTCAGGTTTAGGCTGCAATGCATTAGGCCCTTCAACAGAACTTTCTTCCTTGTCACTTTTATATGATGGGTGCCTTTTAGGGTATGACGAGGCTGCAATAGCATATTGGTTTGGAACAACAGAATTCCTAGCCATTCTTCGCTGTTCAATAGCCTCTCCAGCTGCGGCTGCAGCACCACAGTTATTGTAACGCAATACAGAACCAACAACTTTTCCTGGTCTAGCAGCACCACCTGCTGAGAATGCAAAAACTATCAGGCAGGAACAAAATGGTTTCAATGTGTAAATTCGATCAGCTCAAGGTACGACAGCACATGTATTAATCACTATGAAGCATGCAGAATGACTTGCGTGAGTTCCAAACAATATAAGGTCAAATACACTAAGCACAAGAATCATGAATTCCAAAAGTTCCAACTAAAAGCAAATTCCACTTCAATTGTGGAAATGGCTTGTAAACACAACTCCACAAGATCAATGGCGCACCACAGATTCACAGGTGATTCAGATTTCCCCAAGGTTTCATGTGAATCTAGGATGTTTAAAGGGAGTACGAGATAGATATTGAAACTTGAATTAGAAATTGATATCAAACATTCAAACTTTCCAACCAGAAAGAAAAAACAGGGAAAATAAACATGCCTCCTACGAATTATCTTAGAAAGGAAAACAAAGAAAACAATAGTTGATCAGGGAGTCAGGTATGGCGAAATCAGAAGTGCATCAATAACAGACGTCAATATGCTATCTTAACATAGCAAACATATTGGGTAGACAGACAATCTTTACCTTGAATACTAGGAGGTACATGGAGAGGAAGTCTTGTCATAGGGATACCAGCAGTTCTATCCACATTTGGCTTCTCAACTTCTTTGATTGAGCATCTAGAAAGATCATTAGCAACTTCGGTTGTATTTTGTGTTGTGTTATCATTGTACAAAACGCAGGCCCTGCAGCCCAAAAAAATATTAGTATAAAACTAAAGATCCAAACAAGTGTCTAAGAAACGAACCACATAGGCATAAAAACCAGGCTACCTTGGTAGGGAGGATGCTTGTTGTCTTTCAGGAGGAGGAACAGCTCCACCATTCCCATAGCGCTCCTCAAGATAAGCAAACTGCTTCTTAAATTTATCAACGGCACTGGAAAAAGGAAATAAAAAACAAAGAAATCATTAACCTGTTTTTTACTGAAAAGACAATCCGGCTTCTTTTTCATGCACAACATGTAAACAAGATAACCATCCTTGAGTAAAAAGTGACCTCTGATATCCTACACAGGATAGACATCCCACAAGCAAATTTACGAGCACAAAATTTGAAATCCTTTTAGTTCAACGTTTCTTGTATTCTTGGACTAAATTACAAAGCTTGAGGAGCCAACTTGTCATTCATGGTGAAATCACAGTATAAGGAATGAGCATACACGTGAGAGAGATTGAGATAACAAGGGAGCGTGAGAGGATTTAATTACTCAAATAATCCAAGTGAAAGACATTTAATCAAACAAGCTTCCGGTAACACCCCTACTTGATGGTTCAAGAGAAGGCAATCAAGGTACAAGTACAGATTTACAAGAGCTGGCATCCACAGGAAGATATAACAGTGTAAGGATTTAATCCAATACCTTGGATACATGAAATTTGTAGGTTCTGATCCATCTAAGTATTCTTTCAACATCTTCGGATGGTATTCGAGAATTTCACGGTAAATTAATTCTCTCACATCTTCTTTGGTTATTCTTCGTCTTTCAAATTCAAACTCCATTTTGGATACTGGCTGAGCAGAAGGTTCTCTCTCAACTTTGGCTAAATTCCTGAAATAGGGATCTGCAAGAGCCTAATGGCTCGCCCATGAAACATGTACGCTAAGAATCCGGGGATACAGTGAACGTGCTAAGACTTCCAATATACACTAAATGGAAAGTTATATACCTCTTCTGCGTTGGGTCGGTCTTTTTGATCAAAGGCAAGCATTTTTTCCAGTAGTCGAAGAGCAAGTGGATCTGCATTTGGGAATTTATGGGAGAAAGGAACAGGCTTTTTCTTCCTCATGCTACTTAAATATCTCCTAGCCTTTTCATTTCTTATCTGCAAGCACAAGGTGTGTACTAAGGAAACAGGAAAACATCTAGTAAACAAAGAAACTAAAGATGTGTAGATGAAAAATGATAAACAAACCCTGGCAATAGCTTCAGAAGATGGTGTCCCAAGTAAATCTGTCATCAGATCCAACTGGTGAACTACATTTTTTCCTGGAAACAGAGGTTTCCCAGTTAAAAGCTCTGCGAATATGCAACCAATACTCCATATATCAATAGCTGGCGTGTACTGAAAATGTCAAGGCAAAATGATCTCAGTCAGCATGAGATAAGAATAAGCCTACAATATGTATTTACAAAAACGTCTGATTTCTAAATCAGGTACCGCAAAAAATGAAAGATGAAAAGACAAATAAATTAGCACCTTAGAGAAAAACGATCCACAGAGTTCTGGAGCTCTATACCATCTTGTTGCTACATAATCCTAAACACAGAAATTCAGATGAACACAAGAGAATTCTGAAATCGTTACACAAGTCCAACAAATTACAAAACCCAATTTGAACATCGGTTCATCAGACGAAACTTACCGTCCAAAATATTGCGGTAGGAGTATCATTGAAGGCTACTCTTGCTAGGCCAAAATCACATATCTTGAGCTTACAGTCAGCATTAGCTAGGATATTTTTAGGTTTCAAATCCCGATGAAAGACATTAGCTGCAAGAAAGTGTCTTAGATATCAGAGAAAGTACCACCATTTCTAACCATATATGCAGCATGCAATCAAGAGTTTCAAATGGAAACCAGAAGGAAAAAAAAACTAGAGATTCTTTCAAAATCCAAATCTTACCAGTATGTATATACTTCAAGCCTCGAAGAAGTTGATACAAAAAGAATTGGTAATGTTCAGGTGTTAGGTCATCATTTGCTTTAATGACCTGGTGAAGATCAGATTCCATAAGTTCAAATACCACATATATGTCTTTGAATTCCCTTCTCGAAGGAGGGAGCAAGATGTGCTTAATTTCAACAATATCCGGATGACGAAGAAGCCTAAGAAGTTTAATCTCACGAAGGATGCGTGTGGCATCAGAGACATGCTCAAAGATATCATTTATCTTCTTAATTGCAACTTTTTCTCCAAGATGAGTATCATATGCAGAGCAAACAACGCCATAACTACCTTTACCGATCACTTCCTCAATCTTATATCTGCTACCCTCACCATATTCTGTGAAGAAATCTACATCTACAGATCCCTGCATTATCAAATTTTTACACACCAGGTTATTGACACAACAAGAAACAGTTTCAAGTAAACTTCATCACAAGAGGGTGGCGCAAAGAAGAAAACCCGGTATACACAAACATTACATGTATATGGAGAATTTATCAATAGAGAACACTTTTCGATGTATGCAGCAACTGATACAAAAACAACGGAACAGTCTAAGAGGTCTGTACTAATGGCTACAAAATTTCAAAAGAGGAAGTACCAGCAAATCCAAGAGAACCTGGAGGGACAAGCAATAGATTTAGCTAATACCCAAGGACTTTCGACAACACCCCCCAAACAACAAAATCAACCACGAGGTTTAAATGTAGCTATTTCCAAAGGTTCTTGTGAGCTCATGGTCCCCAACACAAGACCTGGATTGTCAAGTACCTATTCAGGCAGCTTTATTGGGGCAGCAATTATCTTTAACACTTCTCAGATGAAAAATCCAAATCCATACAGACCAAAAGGTGTAGAAATGCCCACAATTGCAGCTTGATCAGGAGGGATCACTTGATTAAGAATCTAATTTCTACTTCTCCACATCTCTTACAAGCAACAATAACCTTCATCCCAGGAAGAAATTACTAGATTCAGGAAGTCACAACTATTTCTCCAATTAGCCCCAAGGAGAAGCTAGTAAAAGACTAAACACCCAATCCAACTTACCATCCGAAGAACGCGAATAGGAAGAAATTGAATATGGGTGTATTGAAAAGACAACACTGCTCGCAAAAACCTTAATCAAGGATATGAAAGAGGAGAAACCCCTTCGTAAGGTTTGCACAATGTAACAAGCAGCGCAAGTTGGCTGCGTTGTTTCTATCCATGTCTACCATTATATGATCCAAATTGTTAAATGTAAAATCTTTCAAAGAAACAGCTAGGGAAAACCAGCTCATAGGCATGGCCTTTAAACACAGCATTAAAGTCAAATTTACTGCAACAGTAAAGACCAAAAGATTTTATATTGATCTCATTTCTCTAAATGCAATGTACTACAGATGACCAAACTTGAACAAAAAATGAACATTCAATACTAAATTAACTGTTGAATCCCATACCAAATAAGGCGGCCCGGTAGCTAATGGAAATAATGAAGCAACTTAGAAGTCCCCTATCTCCGAAGAATGTTTCTCAGCAGCATACTAACTTCACATTGTGTAACCAATATTAATACATTTCACAAATTCATGCGAACAAAATTTCCCTAAATAGATGACCAGATCTTGCGTCCTAAGCATTTAATCAATAACACCTAAAAAGATACAAACTGAAAACAGAGAAGAACATGAGATATGATTCAATATGCAGGAAATTTACCTTTTTCCGCTGATCGCCTTGCATATTTCAACAACGGAGCATCAACTAATTCGTGGTACAATCAATAAGCAAAAGGGTAGATCAACAGACAACCGAAATAGGTTGACTTCAACGAAAGGATTCAGACCAAAAAGACAATCCTTTTTTTGTAGTGGGTTCTGGATCAGAACAACTAGTATAAAATTCAAAACCCAAAAAACACCAAGAAATAAGTTGTGAGAAAAAACCCAGTACAGATTTTGAAGTTGAACGTTCAAAAAAACACAGGACAATCAACAGAAACCAGGGATTCCCAAAGGGTAGAGAGGGGAGCTTTTTATGAAGGGGTTGATTTATAAACAACAAAAAAATGAGTTACAAAAAGGTTAAAAACTTGTAAGAAAAAGAATCTTGGCGGAAGAAACTGAAGTGTATATATCCAAATGTTTCACTTAAAAGGAAAGATACTTGGCGATGATCTCTACCCAATATTTCTTGCAACAATGGGGTGACCAAGAAACCAACTTTAGAACAAGGGATGTAAGATTTTTAGTCTCTTTTGCAGGGAACAAATCAGTAAAGCTGAGATCTTTACACTTCAAGAAGAGATCTTTGAGCCAAAAATTTATGCTTTTGTACTTCTTCAAGTTGGGGAGTAAGGGAGCATATAGAGAGAGAGGGCAAATAGAGAGTTGCTAAAAGAAAAGAGTAGAAGAAATATGTTATAAATATTTTCAACCATGGAAAATTTTCATCATTGTTCATAAAAAATAAATAAAAGCATTACCAAAAAATAGATATTAAGACCAAAAAAAGAAAAGAAGGGGAAAAAAATCCCAGTTTTGTGGCAACAGAAAGCTCACTGGTTTTTGGAACTTGGACTTCAATGCTATATTTGGGAAACGACATGCCAGCCACCCACTGCTATCTCATACTAGTAGTAGATTTTTAATGATTAGCTGTAAGAAAAATTGTAAAAATTTTGAGGAATCATTTTTTCAGTTAAGATGCTATAAACTGTCCTATAAACTAATTGATGATAAAAACTAATAGAAATGTTCTTCAGAGTAAACTCTTGATTTTTACCATTTCAGAAAATAACCTGTTCCGTTTACAATTTACAACAGTTGTTTCATGACACCAATACTTTTATTAACTAGTTAGGTGATATTGCCCAAATCATCCAAGATTTTAGTTTACTTAAGCCTAAGACAAACAAAGATTATACTCCCTTCGTCCCATAATTATTGTCCAGTTTAGATTTTCATTTCTAGTTTAAATTGTACTAAAAGTAAAATCTCAAACTAGACAATGATTTTAGGACGGAAGAAGTACAAGATTACAAGATTATTGTGGTCTTTTTTACTCATTAATATTGTGATACATAATGTTGATATGGACTAATCCAAATTCAAACAGATTAACAGAACTTTGTAATAGTAAAACTAAAATCACATAGGAAAATTGGGAAAAGTGGATTGGGAGTTACAGTTTTCACATGTGTATGTAAATTTTTTTATACGGATTTGGAAATGGACAACATATAACTAACTGACATCAAAGCAACAAAAGAGGGAAATTACCTTTCCAGAATCTTTTTGCTTATAATCGAAATCCTGAACTTTTGTTATTTTATGTAGTTCTGTGATCGAGAAAAGGAGATAATAAACGAGTATATAAAATTAGTTTGAGAAGGGTAATACAAGTACAGTTCATTAGCGTGTAGGGCCTTTTCGTATTACACCTCAGAAACACGTATTTATTTTCTGGAATTTTTTTGGACTTTGGAGTTTTGGTCTTTGGGAATTGAAATTTAATGCATTTGGCCATTTGGGTTGGTCGAGGATTTGAACTTTCTTAAAATTAAAATTCCTACAAAACGATGCAAATGATATATGAATGAGAGAGACTCTTTGGATCGTGTTCATCGATAAGGAAAGGTTCCATAATATGCCACTGAAAATTTTCTTGGTTGGAATTTGATTAGATATGCATTGATCTAGGTACAATTCATTTGAAAAGTGTTTTATGTTGTAGTGAGCTATGTTTATTTGCGAGCAGATGTAATTAAGGAGACCAGTAGTTGCGATCACTTTAATTTTTAAAGTTTTAAAAGAAAATTATACATACTCAAAGTATAAAATGAGTCTTTTCTTTTCTTTTTCATTCACTCTTTTTATAAAATAAAAAATAAAAAAATTCTGACTTCGCCATTGGTGATGAACGGGTACGTATTTGTACTGGTGTGATTCAGACTTGGTGTGGAAAGTATAATCAACAAGTAAGTGCTTTCCTAGTTGTTACTTAATTTAGAGGTTAAGAAACAAAGCATTAAGCATTACCAAGGTTGTGGATATTGTTTCATAATCCATGTTTGGCTGATTTTTGTTTTTGTGAAATATGCTCTTTTGCACTTGTTCAAAGAAATACAATGTCATTGTCAAATTTTAATCTAATTATTAGAAAAGTAATGTGTGTGTGGGGGAAAGGTGGTTCTTTAACTATTGATCGTGCAATTGTTTGACCACCAATAACTTTGCTAGTGCATAATTATTGCACAAATGAGGTCCATGTATAACTGAAACTTTTTGAGATGAGATAATTCTTATGGTAAAAAAAAAAATTATAGAAATGAGGGTTAAATTTAACTACTTCTAATCCAATTCATAAATGGTGTCTTTTCCTTGATAAAGATTTGTCCATAAAATTAGTATTCGAGATGTGTCATAGAATGAAACGCTATAAAAAATGTAACTATCGAAAGTAAATTTTGGAGCCAATACATTAATTTTACTAGTGACAACGTTCTCATGGAAATTTAACAGATCAAGAGTTTAATGGACAACATCAAAGACTTTCCTCAACATGATATTGTAAAGGTAATTTCAATTTACTATAAATTAGATTCATAATGCAAATAAATTACAAGGTGATTATGCAACATCCGGCCTCTAATATATGAACCATCCGGTTATTATATAAATTCAATTGTAGTTCCATTTACCCCTAGCGTGATTTGAACATGTGATCTATTGGTTAACAAGTGAGGCGTCTTTAACTTTCACGCCCTAAAAACTGTCATTGTTAATCAAGTGCAATTAAGTGCCCTAAAAACCAGAATTGCATTGCATGGATCTACGAAGAAACAAGATATTAAAATCTTCAAATATTTTAGCCTCCCATTGTTTCTTTATGTTGGGTTTTTGTCCAACATTATGTGACAATAAGAAGTGATGGTTTTTTTTTACTTAAACTGGCAATTATAAGAAACAAATACATACTAATCATTCATTTTGATCTCCATCTAATTGTATAATACTATGTATACTATTGAGACCTACTTGGACCTGCATTGAAAAGCACATTGAGCCCCATTCGGCACTTAGCTGCATTTTCAGCTCGTTTGCATGTGCATCACATGGTTTCTTGATGAAATTATGGCATCTGAGCTATGATTAGAAACATGTTTAATAAAAACATTGAAAAGATTTGCTAATTACCCTTTTAGAGAGTTTAGCCCATCTTAGAAGATAATAATCATTGTTTTAACTCTTAGCTCATTATTAGTCTACTGATATTTTGACCTAGTTTTAGGGCTCATATGGACAGTGTTTTTAATTGTTGCGTTACGAGTTTTTTACTAGTTCAGAAATATAAAAAAATTTTACATTCATAACGAACATGGAAAAGAAATTGGTTGTAGATTCAAAGAGCAAAATATAAATTAAGATAGATCTGACTATCTTACAAAAGTTGAGAGATAAAAAAAAAAAAAAAGAAAATCTAATCACCAATCACTTCAAAATATCCATAAAACTTATGATATTCATTAGGTTCCAAGTTGGATTAACTTTGTAAGCTAATGACCTTTTTTTTTTCTTTGTGCTAGTCTAATCATCTTTGTGGGGTTGGGCAAGAGACTTTTAATTTATTTTGTGATTATTCTCCTCCTCTCTTTATAATTGACCCCCCATGTTGGAAAGTGATGGAGGGCCCTGAATCTAATGGTATTTTCTTTGTGATGGAAACCAATTGATATTGCCATTAGTTACATAATGGCCACACTATTTGATAATTCATTTCTCCCCATGTGCCTGTTGTACAAGCTTCCTAGATTACATTAATTTAAGGTATATGAAATTTGCAAATTATGATGGTTCATTAATGATGAGAAAATTGTATTTAATAACAGAGATTCGAACAGCAACCGTTTTGTGATAGAAGTACAAGAAGAAATCTTAAAACAAACAAAATAAAGAAAGATCCTAGAAAGTGAAACCTTCATCAGTCTCATGGGAGAAGTGCAAAACCTTTTAAGGTTTAAGCTATAACATAATGATGAAGTTAGGTACAATTTCTTCATAGAGCAAATCTGGTACATTGTAAACAAACTATAAAGAAGCCCCGTTTTTTCTTCCTCAGTGAACAACTTACTTGAGGTACTTAACACACCAATTCATCATATCCTGGTGTGCCTCTAGAGCAAGCTTCACCTCATTCTCATCTTCATCCTTATACCTCACAGCCCATCCATGAGCAACACCAGGAAATATCTTAACGAAGCTGTCAACCTGAAAGAGGTTTTCGATGTTCAAAGCGCGAAAAAACAAAAATCTTGATTGCTGATAAGTTATATGCATAGAGAAGTTGGAGATATACATGTCATAGAGTCATATCCTTAATGACTCCAAGATGAAAAGCATCCAATGGATCAAGAATTCAATATAGATATTAATGTGTATTGAGCTTTGATCTCGGAAAAATGAGATTACCAACACTGTAACTACATGTCTCCAGAAACTAAAATTGACAGAAGTTCTTCATTTATTACCTCAGGCTTAGTAGTCAGCACTTCCTCAAATGTTTTCACCAGTTCTTTTGGGCACATGTGGTCTATCTCAGCTCCCAATATTGAAATTGGAACTTTAACAGCTGAAGAATCAACAATAAGTAAACAAACTGTTACTACTAACATTCTGCAGGAATCAGAGGCCATGATAGATTGCAAAACTCCCTTTTCAATACATGGAGCTGTCGACAGTAAAAAGTTACAACTAACAGGTAAGATATATAATCCCTAGGTCGGCTGTCAACAGGACAAGCATTTTGGGACGGAGGGAGTACATATTAGTAAGTGACTCGGTTCCAACACATAACAGATGTAAACAGTTTTCTCTTCAACCCTTGCTAGTCAATCAATGATGGAGAAAGAAGTATATGAGGTCTAAGCCATACCTTGAACATCTTCCACAGTGACAAAGGAAGGGTGAATCATGACTGCAGCATCAATGTAGGGATGCTTCGCTAATTCCACGGCCACTTTTGCTGTTATCACAGAAATCTGATGTTAGTAAAATAAGGAGAATGAAACACGATTTCTTGTGTCTTTACTAGGCACACTGAAAATCCTAGCGGCCCTAAAAAGGTATATTAAATTAAGAAACGTATGTCTCAATGAAGATTGTTAAGCATACCTCCCCAACAAAAGCCCACAGCACCAACTTTCGCAATGCCTTTGTCTTTTAGAGCTTCAATAATCGGCTTCGCATGCTCGAATCCTTGCTCCTTAACAATCAGAAAATGACAGATGAAAGCAGAAGAACTCATCAGAATCTTGAAACACGAGGTTTGGCCACAGCAGTGCATCTTCAATCATCCTAAGTGACTGTTGCAGAAACTAAATCATTCCGACTACCAAACCTAAGGCATATATTAAGAAGAGAACTTACTGGTGTATGTATCTTCAGCCACTCCTGCAAATCTGTCACTCCCCAATCCACGTAATCACCCTGGTGAAAATCTGGAACTACAACAAAGAACCCCAAGCCTGCAACTTTGTCTGCAAGCTTTCTTCACAATTGACAGTTGATATATCAGGTTAGTACTCAAGAGATTATTGAGACGTGCTATGTATTGATCACAAATGAAGATCGGCGCAGAATACACGCTCATGGTGCAATTATATCGAAACTGTAAAATGGTAAACCTCATAATTAACAGAAACTACAGAATTTTGAGTGCATATCCTACCAGATGCAAGGAATTTATGAAGTTCTTTCTCTTTTGAGTAAGCATAATAAATAGCCAAAAACATGCAAAATGGACACAAAGGATGAAGAAAAGTTATATGTTTCAAATTATACTTGACAATGAATGCAAAAAAAAAATATCATATACTTATTCTAAGAGATCAAAAGGCTTCAGAAAGTTCAAACCTCAATTTTGGAGCTTCATACCCTGAAATCATGAACAACAAAAACATTTGTAAATTTAACAAAATCCCACATTAGAAAATGCAAGTTTCATCCAAGAGCAACAAAAAAGTTGGTAACTTTGCAACAACCCATATGAGTAAGTGAAGCAAAACCATACCAAAGATATCAGAGGCAAACAAAACAGCAGTCTTGGAATCAGCAGAGCCTGTAATGTAACATTTGAGGCTTCCAATTTCTTCCACAAAGCCTGCTCCAGAACTGGAGCTTAAGTCTGGTGGGTTAGAACAACACTGTGGACCAGCCATCTCTTTTGGATACTTAGTAAACTCTGCTCAAGAAATCTTTGTCCGAATTGGGATTAAATATGGAACTTCAGTCCCAGTGGAACTAATGGTTCTTGTGAGATTAACGTTAGTAAAATCCTCATGAGTTGATTACTTGCTAGTCCCATTGGGCGGCTGAGAATCACTCATCATCATTGACGTAGACCTCTTCCTAGTTCCCAGGAAGATGAAATACTGTAAAAAAATTCCAACTTTCATCTGACAATCTCCATGTTCACACCCTTCGATCCTTATTATAAGGCATTTGGATTTCTCATAAATTTCATTTATAATATCCTTTCAATTAAAAATAAAATCTTAAAAATACATTTATTTTCAAACGGTTTCATTTTCAATTAAGAAAATACGATAAATGAAACTTAGGAGAAATCAAAATATAAATTACGGAATAGAATATGTTGCAATTGCTGACCATGATGACACCAGGAAATCAATGTCAATTTAGAACCACTAAAAAAAAAAGGGCAGCAAAAGACTTTTTGTAGAATCAGATAAAAAGTAAACGAACATACTGACAATTTTGATTTTGGGCAAGTTCAGATTTGGATTTATCACATTTTCAAAGAATTTGCTATATTTACATCTCAAGAATAAATATATAAATATCATTTTGTGGCATATTATATTACATCCCTCGTACTCAGTTGATGTAGTAGACAGATTACAGAAGAATTACATTAGTCAGGCTAATGCCGGATCACCATCAGGACTGAACAGTGAATTTCACCATAATTATAAATTTTGATTTAGCTGTATGAGCTTACAAAACCAATAGTTCTCAATAGGGATATTGAAGTTGTAATTCAATAAAAGTTGCATTTTAAACAATGTCAAACTCAAAGGGTATCAAAAATGAAGTTGAGCTCTGGCACATTAGGATGAAAAAGCTCGAAATTATCTGGAGTTACACCCAGTAATCTTCTGTGTAAAATTCTACATTTAGTACATGGCCAATTCACTCTGGAAAAGAGTACTTATTTATTCACTTCACTAACTCATCCCAAAAAAAACCCTGCTTCTTCCCCCAATGAACAATGTACACCATTTAAATACTCTCAAGAAAGGAACTATGTAAACCAAATTAACCATCCTCCAAACGGAGCCCCTTCTGGTGGAGAAGTTACAGATGGAATAGCTTCTTGCAGTCTTTTCATGACACTTCACTTCAGGTACTTAACAAACCAATTCACCAGGTCCTGGTGTGCCTCTTCTGCAAGCTTCACTTCCTTTTCATCTTCATCCTTGTATCTGACAGTCCATCCATGAGTAACGCCTGGAAATATCTTCACAAAACCATCAACCTGAAAAAAAGTTTCTATCCGCTTAGGCCTTTTCGCTTAACATGCCAAACAACGAAAATGTTGGTCACTTGGCAAGCTATAGTCAAGTATCATCCTTTATCGTGTAGAAGGGGCTCGAAAATTTATTTTTTTAAAAAAATAAAATTTCAGCTATGAGGAGATCAGAATAAATTCCAATGAGTAATAACTAGGTAGTAACTATCATTGCAAGAAACTCGGTAGTAACTATTAGCACAGCATCGACATAATGGCAGATATTAAAATGGACATAAGGACTTAATTTCTTACATCAGGCTTTGCGTTTAACGCTTCCTCGAATGTTTTCAGTACTTCTGGTGGCCATTTCTGGTCAAACTCAGCTCCCAATATAGCAGTTGGAACCTTAACAGCTGAAGAAACAACAGAAAGTAAATTAATAATGAAATTCAAGAACCAAAGGTCGTAAGAGTCGGACAACCGTGCCTCAAAATCTAATATGTATTCAAGATAAACTACCATCTGGATAAATGACCAGACAAAGCAGCTGACAGCTGTGCTTTAACAAGCTACAGCAATTATGGTTAAATGGAAAAAGACATCCATAGTAGAGACAAGTAATACCATGCATGAAGGAAGATATACTGATCTCCATAAGAATTGATTGTCGTTACCACAAATGAAGCTGAAAAGACAACTATACCTTCAATGTCTTCCTTCGTGACAAATGAAGGGTGACAGAGCACTGCTGAATTGATGTAGGCATACTTTGCTAGTTCCACAACAACCTTAGCTGCAAACGCAGAAATCTAATATCAAAAACCACGGAGAATGAGGGGTAAACTAGCAGTACACGTCTGATGTCCAGATGAAGATCTTTAATCCTACCTCCCCAACAAAAGCCAACAGCCCCCACTTTAGTGATGCCTTTGCTTTTTAGAGCATCAATAATTGGTTTTGCATGCTCGAATGCTTGATCCTAACAAGGAGAGAATTTTACAGATGAAAAGTTTAGTACCTTTAAGCTGAACTCTTGGAACACTGCTATAATCAGATTTAAAAGCTTGGGCATGCACTAGATAGCGGATTTTCTTTACTTTTAGTTAGTTTCTGGAGAAAGAACATAGTTAAGCCATCACAGAGAACCAAAATTTAAATGTTCAATAATGGTTTAAGGATTGGACTGAAAATTTTCAAGACTTGTAGCCCAGGAATATATACATGATCTGGTCTTCACTTCAAAAAAACAAAATTTCCAGCTTCAAGTGCAGACATCAAATTTAGGCATCCATTGAGATTTTAGAAGACAACTTACTGGACCATGTTTCTTCAACCACTCCTCAATAGGCGTCACACCCCATTCCACATAATCGCCCTGGAGAAAATCTGGAACTACAGCATAGAATCCAAATCCAGCGACTTTGTCCGCCAGCTTTCTTCGCAATAGCAAGTTATGATATTAGGTTAGACATTCACGTATTATTGCAACATACTATCTTTTATTCCAGAATAATGTGGCAGAAACCTCAAATGACAGGCACAAATGCCTGTTTTACGTGCAATGATATTGGAAGAGTACATTGCTAAACCTCCTGATTAGTTGAAACTACAGAATGTGTTCTATGCCATTCTATTTTATACAAGAAACTTAAAAAAAAAAAGAAAATTCTCTTGTATCATCATGACAAACAACAACTGCACTTGCACAAGTAGGCAAAATGACCACATACTAGATTACGGGAAAAAGAAATTTCAGCGTTTGTGCTTGTTCAACCACACAACCACCACCACCCCCAACCAAGTAGGATCCCTTCAACTCATAAAGGCAAAATATTACCGATGACAGAGATTCCAATCATACTTGAAATTGAATGAAGAAAACACCTAAAAAGCTTTTAAGGTTCAGACAATTCGTACCTCAACTTTGGAGCCTCATACCCTGCAAAAGATGAGGATGCATTAATGGTTTTTTTCCAAGGAACCCAATCCCACAAATCACCGATATTTATTTGCATAAACTAGCCTCAAACTGAAATGCATGTTTAACAATTCACACCAATAAACAACAAAAATGAAAAAAAAAAAAAAAAAAACTGAACAAAGATTGCAACTTTACGAAATCCCATATCGATGATTTGAAGTGGAAAATCATACCAAATACATCAGAGACAAGCAAAACAGCAATCTTGGAATCAGCAGAGCCTGAAACATAACTCCTGAGGCCTCCAATGTGTTCTTCACGGCCTCCTCCAGAACTGGCGCTTAAATCTGGTGGGTTTGAACAACACTGTGGACCTGCCATCTCGTCTGATACAACTAGCAAAACTTTGTCACAAGAATCTTTGTCCGATTTGGGATTAGACCAGAGAGTTCAATGCAGTATAAATATTTTTCTAAATATTGAGTCCTGAAGTTAGTATAGCAAATGGAAATCAGCCACAAATATAGTATATTATTCAAGTTGAACACGGCTGCAGAAGAATCAATCACTATCCAATATCAATGACTTGTTGGAGCTCTTTCCGGAAAGATGTAAACTTTAATTAAATTAATTATAGGATGAGTTGGTTTTCTTCTCTTTTTTGTTTTTATGGGTCCTCTTGTAAAAGTTAGAAGAATCCAAAGGGACCCTTGTCCTGAAGTATCAAGACTTTGGAACTTTTGAGATGTCTTCTTGTAGTGAAGACAAATTGTTAACTTCTACTATGAATCAAGGTTTTTTTTTTTTTTTTTTTTAATACTGCGCACAGTATCTTAAATGTTTAATTCGTACAGAGCCGGGTTAGTCTCGTTTCGCAGAAAAATTTCTTCCAACATTACTCTTTACATTTACGAGACTCTGAACTTGAGATTTCGTTTAAGGAAAGCAAAACACCTTACCACTTTAACTAAAAGTTGGAGACTTATAAATTCAGCTTCGGTTTCTCAGCACAAATAGTTGTTTTCATTTTAGTGTCATTTTGTCATTTTGATCAATTCTTATTAGATACAGTTGATTTCAGTTGGCAAGTTCTCATATGATAAAAAAGACCAAAAGACGACATTATTATGAATTAATTTCTTGAAATAATTCGAACAGGACTAAATTTGTCACTCTCTAGACCGCATAATCTCTGGTAAGATTCTGGAGGTTTTTTTGCAACCTTTCTTCACAATTGACAGTTAATCTACTGGCTTTGTAACATCTCAAATCCCTTAAGAATTAACTTGAATATATTAATGTAACTTTTGACATAATATCCTTTCAGGAATACATCCTCCATGGAAATTCTAAAGACAACGAAATTTACTGAACTACATCAAACTTGACAACATGTCACTTATTTGCACATCATACTAAGCTAAACTTCTGTTTCAATAAGCTTTTCTCCCTCCCATGGCTGCAAGACTGAGAGCTAAATCCTGTACTTCTTCATCTGACATATCACAAGATCAACAAGACATGAGTGTTCAAGCTCGGTTTGTTTCGAGAGAACTACTTTGCATGGATAGAGACTTATGAATCAACTTAAAATGAGGATAAGAGTAGGATAATGTAATAACAGAAGCAAGACCAAAGCTGCCATGGATCAATACGAAATCTGTTTTCTATTTAGTGATCTGAAAGAGTCGTCATGGTCATAATCAATCACTGTTAACCTGCCCAGATGGAAATGTCAACAAGAACACGCTCACTAAATATTAACCCGTCCTTCAGGACAAGTCATCAAGAATACAATCACTCAATATTAACCCATCCTTTTGGACAAGTCATCAACGATACGCTCACTGAAAATTGAAACCATCATTTCGGGCAAGTTGTCAAGAATACACTTACTCAATATTAATCCATCCCTTCAGGCATGTCATCATGAATACACTCACTCAATATTAACCTAAAAAGACAAGTCATCAAGACTACAGTCCATAATTACCCATCCTTTCAGGCAAGCAATTTAGAATCCACTCACTCTATTAACACATCCTTCCGATCAAGTCATCAAAGAAAACTATTAACATGTCTTTCGAAGGCCAGTCTCATTTAATATTTGATTTCATTCAAGAATAAGTTCTTTCAAAGAAAATAGGAAGATCATTGGAATTAGGAAGAGAGAAGTATCTGTTTGTTTGGAGAAGAAATTTCTGAAATCCACAAAAATCTCTGTTTTGAAATAAAAATCTTTGATACGAAAGAGGTTGCAAGCTGCATGTTATAAAAAGGGATTTTCTTGTATGAATGAATCATTTAGCCATAAAAAGTCAGAAAACAATGGACCAGTAGTAACTCAGTCTTTACATAAACATATTGTCAAACTGCATTCCCTGGTAAAAGAATTCTTCCATGGGTTTCCAACAAAAGGAAGTCAGAAAATTTACAAAAGGCTAGTCACTTTTGGGCAAATGATCTGATACTCTTAGCTTACTAGAAATTGGGGTGTGTCCTTCGACATAAAAAGCCAATATGTATATATAGGCAAAATAAGACTACTCTGGTTCATGCACCATGATTAAGTCTCACACATTCCATTTTAGTATTCATGAACCTGAATTATCCTTAAATTCTGCCTTATCATTTATATATGCATCTATTATATTCGTATCCTATGTCCAGAATAACTATTTAGCCCTTAATTTATATGTCAAAAAAGCAATTATAATATAAATACAAATTAAATTGGGTACTACTTCAGGGTGTCATAAGCTTGGTACTCACACATTTCCTTTGCTTTATCCCTTAACAAATGCTTCTGTATTTTCCCAGTTGCTGTCTTAGGCAATGGTCCAAACACCACAGATTTGGGTACCCAATATGCCGGCATCTTCGACCGGCTGAACTTCATGATATCTTCTGCCAGTTGCCGGCGCTGGTCGGGATTGTCAGCAGTGTAGCCTGACTTTAATGTGACAAATGCACAAGGGGATTCTCCCCAATGTTCATCTGGCCTCGCCACCACCGAGACTTCCAAGATCGCAGGATGATGGTAGAGTATGTTCTCCACTTCGACACTGCTTATGTTTTCACCCCCTGATATGATGATATCCTTAGACCTATCCTTGATTTCTATATAACCATCAGAATGTTTGACCGCCAGATCGCCCGAGTGGAAGTATCCGTTCGCAAAGGCTTCTGCATTGGCTTTAGGATTTCTCAAGTAACCTTTCATCACAACATTTCCCCGGAAGACGATTTCTCCAACAGTAGTTCCGTCGGCAGGGACAGGTTTATTGTGTTGCGTGTCTACAACATCCAGGCTTTCCAAACCCACATAAGGCACACCTTGTCGGGCATTCAGGCGAGCTTGGGTTTCAGATGGGAGTAAATCCCATTCGGGTTTCCATACACAAATGGTGGAAGGGCCGTAAGTTTCAGAAAGGCCATAAGTGTGTGTAACACGAAAGCCCCGTTGAGACATTGCAGCAAGAACAGACGGGGGCGGAGCAGCACCGGCTGTCATGACGTGAACTACGCGAGGGAGCGGAAGAATGGTGTCTTCTTTTGGAGCATTCACAATGGTATTTAGAACCACTGGTGCGGCACAGAAATGGGTAACACCGAGATTGGCAATGGCTGAATAGACAGCCTTTGCAGTAACCTGCCAAGAGAAGAAAGCAAAATAGTCCTGTCAAGTAATCACGGCAACAAAATGCAATAACAGAAGCAATATCATTTCATGCATGCTACACTTTCAAAACACCAACTCAGCATCAAAGTTCACTAACGAATTGTCATTATTTGCACAAAAGTCACTAGTTTCAGTAAGCAAACTTAAGCCTGGTCAGAAAAACTATGGCAGCAATCATCAGTTAAACCTGGTCAAAAACATTCCGTCAATCATTTTGTATGAGAAAATATTGGTTATCTGGTGGGGAGGGGTTGGGTGGGGTGGTAATTGTTATTACCATGTGGTTGGGGTTCTCTCATTAGGGCAATCCAAATTTTTTTTAGGCAAAAGAAAAGGGAGATATGCTTCATAAGTTCTGTGCAATATGAGTTGGTAAATTTTATGATCAGGATAACATTTTTACAAATTTTGTTGGCTATTCAGGGGAATACTATAGAAACCTATTTTGGGTTTCATTATCATCCACCAAGAAGGCAAAAACAGGAAACAAGAGGCAAGATCAGGTAGAGATACCTTTCTAAGGCATATGCTAGTCCCGCAAATAGCAGCTATTGACCAAGTGAAACACCACCCGTTGCAATGGAACATCGGTAGGGTCCATAGGTAAACTGCACCTTCTCCCATCCCCCAAACAATAGGACTATTAAGAGCCATTAGATATGCCCCTCGATGGTGTAGGACGACCCCCTTAGGACTTGCAGTCGTGCCGGAAGTGTAACCGAGGGCAATGCTTTGCCACTCGTCTTGGGGCCGTTTCCAGGCAAAATTCGGGTTACCAGTTTCCAAAAATTTATCATATTCTATAGCACCTTTCGAAAGGGCATATTGGAGAGACTTCGAATCACAGGATTTATCGGCTATAACAATCAAAAGGGGAGCTTTGAAATTGCCTTTGCTATTGTCAGCCCAAATCTTTAATGCTTCCTCTGCTAGGGAAAAAAATTCTTGATCCACCATTATGGCATTGGCTTCTGAGTGACCCAAGAGAAATGCGATTGTTTGTGCATTTAGACGAAAATTGACAGCATTCAAAACTGCTCCAGCCATTGGAACACCATAATGGGCCTCAAACATCGCAGGTATATTAGGTGCAATTACTGCAACCTGCCATTGCCAAACAGATTCAAGTGTCTACCTAAAGTTCATCATCAACACGAGCAACAGCAACATAGCCCAGTACATACCGAAACTAAGCTCGATTAAACAAAGATTGCTCTTTTGCTAAGATATTTTGGACATAAAAGATCTTGTCAGACAAGCAATATCCTAATGGCAAAGCTGATTACTGCATTAATCATGCAACCTTCTCATCAATAAAAAGAGGCAGCATCTGACTCTCAAATGCTAATTCTTTAATTAGATACCTTAATATTGAAAAGTTATTCACAGCTTGACCAAGCAAATTTTGTGCCACTCAGTGATTTCAGGGCAATCATAATTAACCTTTTAAACCACATAAATTCAGTCATTTTGCACAAGGTTGAGGCGGATAAAATTCAAACCAAGTCAGTATAAATTTTACAAGTAAAAATCCAATCCCCAGAAATATAAGCATCATTGTAATCACTAAAAACCACCAAACCAACTCAAAAAAGGCATGATTCCCGTTCATCAAAAAAAATTAAACCCTTTCGGCTATGGTTGATGCTTTCCTCATCAATAATTCAATAAATTAAAATCTAAAAAAAAATAAAAACAGAAATCCAAAAGTTTGAGTACCGAATTTAAATACCGTGCAGCCAAAGGTAATGGAGTGGTTAGTTAGGGCGGAGGCAAGCCGCCGGCATCGGGTATAAGTCTGAAGCCACGTGTAGGAATCCGATGCATGGATGAGTGATGTCCGATTGGGATGAACCAGAGCTGCTCTCTCCAAGAAACCGAGTGGGGTGAGAGAAGTGTAGTTGGCCTGATTCTTGGGAAGATCGTCTATGTCTTTCTCCTTATTGATCACTGCTTCACCCATGGCAGCCTAGCAAAAAAATGCAGTGGGAGTATGTCCAAACTTTTGTGAAAGAAATAATGAACCAGATGAGGAGCTGACTAGCATGAAAGTTTGTGGGAGTATCTCCATAAATTCTTTGGGTATTTATATGGCATGGTTCCTCCGGTCCAAAGTTTGCGCCATACTCATAAACATTTGGCACGTTGATGCATTTTCAATTAGTTTGCATGTGCTTCACATGGCTTCTTCATGAATAATCAGAGCTATGATTAGAAACATACTCAATAAAGGATTGAAAATCCTTGCTAATTACCCCCTTTAGCCAACCTTACAAGATGTTAATCACTGATTACAACATGGATTAGTTGTCATTCTTACCTTAATAGTCACTTAATATCTTGATTTCGTATGAACAGTCATTTTATTTTGTTTATAATGCGTTTTTTATTATTTGAGAAAAGTAAAAGTTGTGTTGACTATGTTAAAAAATTATTCCAGAAATAAAGAATGAAATGGAAATTACAAGATGTAAGAGGCTGTTTAACAAGCCCTTCATAAGGGTCTGGGAAAATTAGAAATCTAATCATTAACCACTTGAAAATATCCAACAAACTTTTCTTGAGAGGACTAACGAACTATAAATTTGTGAACTTTCTTTTGCTAGTCTAATCATATTTTTTTGGGTGGCGAAGAGTGTTAACTAATTTTATTACTGTTCTTACAATTGATCCCAGTTAAAAACTTTGGGGGGTTAGGAATCTAATAGTATTTGTCCTGGAAACCAATTGATTGTCATTAGATATATATAATGGTCATCACTGTTTGATAATTCATTAATCCCTGTTCCAGTTGAAGACTACCTACTACCTAGTTTACGAAGGCTCCTTTTACAAACATTTAATATCTAGTTTTGGACTTGATTATGTTACAAAGATCACTTTGTGACAAAAGCGCTAGAAGGAATACAGAAGTAGACAAATATAAAGAAAGATCCCAGAAAAGGAAACTTCATCAGGTTCAGAGTAGAAATTTCGAAATGATAAACCATAGTGATACAACATGGTAAAGTTGATGCAGGCTGCATAAGATTTTTCTCACGTACAATTCTTGATACAACAAATTATAACCAAAGAGTAGTCTTATTTATTCATCCACTTCGTTACTCCAAATACATATCCTATTCCCCATAAAATCATAAACATGGCACTTACCCGAGGTAATTAGCAAACCAATTCATCAGATCCTGGTGTACCTCTTGAGAAAGCTTGATCTCTTTTGCATCTTCAACCTTGAATCTCAAAGTCCATCCCTGAGCAACACCAGGAACTATTTTCACAAAACTATCCACCTGCAAGAAATTTTCCATGTAGTTAGTCCTTTTGTTGGCTACGCAAAACAATAAAAACAATGCTCACCGAGAAGTGTAGATGGAGAAGTCAGCTATATCAATTACGACGATCCTTCATCTTATGGAAGGGAAACCAATGTAAAAAACATCAGGTGGGTTGAGAAATCAAAACAAATCCATTGAGTTTAAATAGGTTATTAAGATTTTGATCACAGAGAACTGAGACTAACAACAATGCATCTGACTCTAGAAATTCTAATGTTCAGAGGTTTGTTATTTCTTATGTCAGGCTAACCATTCAATGCTTACCATCCGCTACTTCTGGTGGGCATCCATAGTCTATCTCAGCTCCTAATTTTAACCGCAAACAACAAGAAAGTAAACTAATATTAACATTCAGGAACCAGAGGCCGTGAAAGATAGAAAAAACTCTGTCGCAGTCTGATAAGGAAACAAGGGATCCAAGATTAACTATAATATTTATAAGTAATCCAGCAAACCATGGATCAATCTCAGTATTAGTGACAAGGAGTCCCGCACATTTCTGCAAAAACACCTTAGCATTTCCCACTGCAATTTATATGTAGATAAGTGTTTCTAGAGAAAAAAATGAAGAAAGGCTGATGAAAGTAAAATAATTAAGCTATGGATATGAAAAAACAGCAAGTAATTGAAATTAACATTCCCAGGTTAGAGAGAAGTCAATGTATTAGTTTGAGGATTAGAATAGGGAAATGTTCGCAAAACCTTATAGTCTTTGAATATTCATCTGGCCTCAGCATAGGAATGCCACCCTTTAAGCATGAAGATAAGTTGTGGGCATCAATTGAAAAGAGAATTTACCGGTTGGTGTTTCTTCAACCAGTCCTCCAAATCCATACTCCCCATACCAAACATATTCCCTGGTAAAAATCTGGAACTACAACAAAAAATCCCATGTCAGCAACTTTGTCTGCAAGCCGTCTTCACAATTGACAGTTGATGAATCCGGTACAACTCGCACATTGTTGACACGTAAAATATCGCAATCCTGAATGAAGTTCGGCAGAGTAAACCTTCATGTGCAATAAGTGTTATCGAAACTGTGAAATGCTAAACCTGCAGAAACAACAGAAGCAGAATACTATCAGATGCCAAGAACTGACACACGTCTCTCTCTTTCACTAGAGCAAGAACTTCCAAAAACCCTACAAAGAAGCTCATACAAGATTACAGGACAAATGCTAATCCCCCTTTTTCTTCCCTTGATGACTAGCTTAAGGCTTTCTGTCTATAAGGTTCACAGGAAGATAAAGAGATTTCTCTTATTTTACTTGACAATGAATAAAAAGAAAGCATGAAATTTATTCTAAAAGGGTCAAAGGTTCTGAAAGTTCGCACCTCCATCTGGAGCTTCATACCCTGCAATCATGAACAACAAAACCATTGTAAGTTAACAAAATCCCACATCAGGAATAGCAAGTTTCAATCAGGACCAACAGAAAAACTGTAACTTTACAACATCCTATATGATTAATTGAAGCAAAACCATACCAAAGGCTACCAAGATAGCAATATTGGAATCAGCTGAGCCTCCAGTGTAACATCTGAGGCTTCCAATTTCTTCCAAAAAACCCTGCTCCAGCTCCAGAACCGGAGTTTAACACCGGTGGGTTCCAACGACTCTGAGGCCCTTCCATTCCCTTTGATAATTTTTCCAAACTTGGTTTGAATTGGGATTTGATAAAGGGTTTGAAACACTGTGGAAAAGTCATCATCATAGACATAGACATCTTCCTAGTTGAAAATGTATACTGCAAATGAATCCTAACTTCCATTTTACATCCCAATTGAGCCTAGAATCTACATTGAGCAAGAATCCCTGAAGGGATTGCATCACAATTGCAAAGGGAAGATTAGAATTTGGTGCACTCTGCAGACTGTAACACTAAAGAATCACTGCCAAGTTCAGAAGGTTAAACTTGCAGCAAGACTTGATTTTGTAGGTACAAGTGAACTGGTTAAACTGTAAAAGTAAACGGACGGGCTAGTTTAAACTTTAAAGTTGGGATGAATCATTTGACTTCATAAAGTTTTTGTAAAAATATTTGAAGAATTTTTTTTGGTTGATTTATATTTATTATGAAATGGGGTTTTTTTGGCTAGAATTAATGTAAGATATACCGTGCGAAAAAAGGTTTTTCGAGTTGAAGTATTTGATCAAAGTGTTAGCTTTTAACTAACAATAATTTCATTGATGATATAATAATAATGATACAATGATTATTAATTAAAATATTAAGAAATAAAAAATCTCTTAAACACATAAACCAATTAAGATTGAGTAACATAAGCAATGTAATGCAAAGACAAATTAGATACCAGTAGGAGTTATGTGAATAAAGTTGTGATCAAATACTTCATACAGTAAAATATTCCACAACCGAAATAAATCACACTCCTTTCGGTCCTTATTATAAGGCATTTTGATTTTGTCTTAAATTTCAATTAAGATATCTTTTTAACTGGAAAAAAAATATTAAAAATATATTTTCACTCTCTTTATTATTATGAAATATTTTTAAAGTTTTTATTTCAATTAAAAAGACATCTATTAGATGAAATTTGAGATAAAATCAAAATGACTGATAATAAAAACGGGAAAGAGTATTACACCTTCTCCACATTAGATTTGAATCACTAAACTTAAATATGATAACTATATCCTTAATTTAGCAGCTGGACATGGCCAATGAACTTCTACATCCTTTCTTTAGAAAAAAAAAAAAAAAGAAAAAAATTCTATTAAGGGCATGAGGAGAACAACTGTAAAAGAAGAAAAACTAAGACTATGATTGGTTCTTTTTTTCACTCATTTTTTCAGAATTTTTAATTAATATCTATCCCATTCGAGCATACCTTTCTACATTCTTAATGTACCTTTTTACATTTTCAATACACATTTTTACATTCCCAATACAAAAAAATACACTCAAAAAACCTTCCAAACATAACACGGAAGGCTTTTGTAAAACTGGGAGTTTGATTACTTCTGTTGGAAAGACGTAATATTACAATAGTATAGTAAGGTCTGTATTTATAAGATATTTTTATAGACATACTATGAATAAATTACACTACTAAAAACTAATCTAATTCACTGATTATTTTAAAAACATTAATAGAACTACATAAGTAATCAACTCTGGGATTGAGATGATCTAAGATTCCTTGGTAGCAAACATATCATGTTGCTAAGTATTGTTATCCTTATTACTCCAACTCTCATCATTCCTCGTGCTCAGGTTTGATATTTTCAAAAGTGGGCTGACGTTGAGGGCTAATGTTAACAGTGAAAAGAAGCTAGCGTTTTCCTCACAAATTCGCAAATGGATGCAGCGAAGAAAAGCTATCTGGTCGGTCAAAGTCTAAAACAATGCTGCATTATTATTATTATTATTATTATTTATAGTTTAATAGTATATTGTACTATTTTTTATTCCAAAATATCAATTATCAAAGTCTCTATCGAAATTATTTATACTTATTAAGACAAGGATAGATTGTTTAACAGCCGCCCCTTCTTTCAAACCTAGAAAAACACATCGTCCCTCCACGATCATGAGTAGATCGATAGGGAGTTCTATGTTAATTTTATTGGTGAGGAAATTCTTTTTCTTAGGCTGGCTCATTTGTAGACTTCTATAATATTATACTAAGAGAGAAATCAGAGAGAGAGAATCAAATTTCTTCCCACGTTGACACATAGGACTTTCAGTTTCCAATTAGTTGCAACAAAAACTATTTTCAATAATTACACTAAATGTCCTCTAAATTTTCAGTTATTCGTTTGTTACCAATTTGAAATTAATTGAATATATGAACCATTAATTAACAAACCCACTAAATCAGCAAAAATCATAATCAACAAAAACTTTCTATTTCGTAATTGTGAGATGAAATAAAAACGGAAAATCTTCAAATCTTCCATTATGTGTCACCCAAAAAAGGTAAGAATTAATTTTATTCATTATACAATCTGATTTGATTTGAAATTCAAAAACAAACATATCCAATCCACATATATAGTCTTGATAATTTGTTCCTATACAGGTTGTAAATAGAATAAATATTATATCATAGAATTTTAAACTTTGAAATTTTTTGTGAATTATTGTAAGCATTAAACCTTCCAAGAGTTTGTTTAGGAAATCCCTAAAGTTTGGGATCGGAATTATAAACTTTAGACACCTCTCATTTTTTCTTAGGAATCCTTTCATCTATAGTCTATAGTATTATACTAAGAGAGAAACTAGAGAGAGAGAAAAAAAAAAAAAAGATTTCTAAAGATGCCACATAGGATTTTATCTTATGTGTCATCTTTTTAATGAATGGTTGAAATAATATTTTGCGCAATTATACTAATAGTTCTTGAAATTTTCTATAAATAAATTTTATCAAATCGCATTTAAAACTTTAGTTACTTAAAAATGGAAAACGTGAAGAGGTAATGGATGACAATTACAAAAGAAAACTCAATCAATCAATATTAATGCATTATAATTATTCCCCGCCCCCCAAATTATGGTATGTAAACAATTAAATTAAATGGGATAATAAATCATCAATCAACATTAAAACATGAATAAACATTAAATGGGATAATAACATTATTGTGGTGAAATCAAATATCAGAATAAGAGGGTAGTAAATATTGCTCTTCCCTTCATGAAATTGAACGTAAATCATGGTAATGATTAAGTTTAAAGGTTGAATAAGAAAAAAAAATATGGTTAAGACATGATCAATTAGAGGGGATAAGGTTTGTTTTGAAAAATAATACTCCGTCAATTACTCCACAAAAAAAGATTCATTTTTTGTTTTTTTGGGTACAAAAAGGGATTCATTAAAAACAATTCAAATAATCCCCAGGATTAATTTAATGTACGAGAGTATATATATATATCACTGGCCATAGTTTTGTTTTTCATTCTACTGTCAAACAGATTACAAGCCCCATTCTCCAACCAATATGCAATTCCAAACAACGGTGAGCAAATTCGATACGCATACTCAAGATAAGACACCATGCTAATTGCCGACGAGTAATTCCGATCCATCATGTTGATTGCTGCCTTTTTCTTTCTCTCATATATATATATATATATATATATATATATATATATATTGCAGATTCTAGGGCAACAATTCTCCTCTCACCGGCACCAAGGACATTGTGTTTGTCGGTTCATTCGGGACCCAAGATTTAGATGAACAAGTAATAAATTGTTGTTTGAAATTTCTTTATCGCTAGACTATTGGCCTCTGAGTGAAGATGAATCAGACCATATTTTGTCGAAATTAGGTTAGAAGAAATTGAATGTGTGAATGAAAATCGCGAAATGGACTTTTGCAAAGAACGCGAAATTAAGGGTAGTTCTCTCAATAACAGCACCAATTATCCAATTCCAATGCTCCATAGGTGAAGAAGACGAAGGAATAATGAGAAATTGGATAAAGCATACACATGATTATATGTATACAAGAATTTGGTAAATTTATGATTATAATTGTTGATAATAGTTTTGAAAAACTAAACACTAATACAAACAAGTTGCACTTTCTTTATCGTCGGTTTTACTTGTGAGCACTCAACATTTGTTTTATTATTAAACATTGAATCTATTCATTTTTTTATTACGCATAATTTAATTTAATACTACATTAATGTTATATTGAACATCCTTTGCACACAGAAGGAACATATCCACCCGCTTATTATTGAACTTGAAAAATTATTCCAATGTAAACTTTTCTTTTGCTGAAGCACTTTTTATTTTTCATGCATTTGACAATAATATCATCATATATACACAGTACTTTAATTTTGGCAAAAATTAGCGAGCTATATCATTGTGTGTGTATATATATATATATATATATATATATATAAATATCAAGCGATAAATGTTCATCATCAAATTGGCTTGATTATATGAGATTTGAACTTAAGAAGAAATCAGGGAATGAGTGGATCTTCAAGCAAAATTATTACGTGTAATTTTCTTAGCTTATTTTTTTCTTTTTTCTTTTGACAATTTTTAACGTCAAAAAATATCAAGAAAAAAGAATACCAGTGGAGAGATTAATAATTTCATGTTTTAATAATTATTTTTAAATTCAGAAATGAATGGATGGTGATTAAATTTTTTTCCATGTCATGTATGGATTACACGATCAAATGTCTACATATATTTCTTCAAATTGAAGTCAAAATATTTGCATTAATTACTGGGTTTGAAAAAATCCTTTGAGATTGGATTTACATTATTAAATTTGAATGGTAAAAGTTTTATATTGTAAGAAAATTAATCAGCAATCATAGGGAATCTTTTGTAAATTCATAATTTTATAGTTTTTTCAACTAATTGGAAAGAAAAAACTCATATCATTATCCGAATGATATAATGGTCAAGATATTCTAAGATTCAATAATGTATATGTGTTCCTAATTTAGAATCTATCAATTAAAATATTTTCAAAATTTAATAATTGTCATGTTAATTATCCACAAAATATCATGATAATAATGATTGTCTACAAATTTTTTGACAACACGGTTTACGGGGATTAATGAGTTATTTTCCTTTAATATATATACACACAGACACACACATATATATATATATAATTATATATATTCCAAAAAAGAAAATTTAGAACTCATTAACTATATACATCTAATATATATACATATACATGGTATCATACTAAGTGAGAAACTATATATAATATCCTACATGGTAATTTTTCAAAAATTAAATTAAAGTAGTTTGAAAATTTATATCTCTATGCCCCCTACAAAGTAAGTATATTAACCATAATAGCCTCATGCACCCATTACAAGGTTCGAATCATAATAATGAAATCGGATTATTAATACCCACGCATCATGTATATATCTATTGTTATCAATATAATTCAATAATAGTTAATTTCCAATAAACTCAATCCACAAAATCTTCAAATACTCCCTATTTTCTCATTCAAATATCAATGGAAAGGATAAATACTAATTAATATCAAATTCAAAATTCAAAGAAATAATCTTGAGAGAAAAATCC